TTTTCCCCCCCCCCCCCCCCCCCCCACACACACACACACACCATTGGTCTGGTGCCATTTGACTACTTCTTTACTGAACCATCGTGTAATATTGATAAACCAGGTACGCCAACTCCACCTATGCCATGTATCTTTGCAATTACTACACGTGAACTATATTTGTATTATCAAAGGGCCGTTTCGAAAATTGGTTAAAAATTTTATCCAAAAATTTGGTCTACATCAGGATAAGATAAATTCACAGTAGGCCTAGTTCAGGGCCCCGTAATTCGAAAGCATGGCGCATTGCCACCTAGCACAAGCGTCTCGATTCCATAACTCGCCCCATATGGGGGCTATGGAATCGAGAGTCTTGCGCTCGGTCGCAACGCGCGATGCTTTCGAGTTACGGGGCCCAGATATTTAAAGTTGGGTCCGAGTATTGAACGTTGGTTCAAAACATTAGCCACGTCTTATATCACGCGCTATATTTCATTTAGGTATACATACTTATTGCTCTTTCAGAAAATTAGTAGGGCTCGATGTAACAGACAGGGACACAAGTAAAGATACTTGTACTGTACAAATTAAAGCTTAACGAGATTCTCGTTCTTGAAATATGTGTAGAGAAAAAGTGTTGTTTAACTTTTGGTCGCCCGTGTATATCGAACAAAAAGAACGAAAGAAACCCCACCCAGTTATTGTTCTAGACTTATATCACATTTTATTACAATATCAGAATAATGTACATTATTCAAACCATTACATCCGACCAGTCAACTGATTCTAAAAAGGGGGTGGGGGCTAAACCTCAAAAACGGTATTAACATTTGGCCTTTTTTCTTTTGATCCAAACCACACATTTTCCTCCGAACGAGACGTCAATTGACATTTTAGCGTTCATACTACTATATCCATAGAGAGCCCTCATAGGGGTGATATGACGCTTGTCACCACGATGGAAATATCGTTACATACAAGTACTTTGATAGCCACGCCGAAAGATTTTTTCCTTTTATTATCATAGATCTATATGTATTATTTTACTACCTTTTGTTACTTTTTTTCTTTTGGTAGGTTAATTTCACTTAATGACTATGACAATTGGCAATAACAGACCCGTCTCCCGACTTTTCAAACTCTGTTAAGCAAAGACATCGTCAGATTTTGATCGATACAGCATCTATCGTATTCATCAGAATAAAGAATGGAGATTAAACAAACTTGCCCCCCAAAGTCTTGTGATAAACTCAGTAAAACTCCTAATCTTTTAAGAATATTTGGCGAAAAATCAACGGCCCTGGAAGCGAATCTAATAAACTAATGTATTGTATTTCTAATCAGAGACTTTACACTGTGGACTATGGCACACTACTACAACTTTTGATAAAATATTTATTTACACAAAATTACTAGACAAAACTAAACATACTTTTTCACTTTGATCCCACTAAAAACTTTTTTTCAAAAAAAAAAAAAAAAATGCATTTAATCATCCAAAAAAAGATCATACATTATAGCTGTGCATTTGTCAACTTATCAATCATATTCTTGAAATTAAGATGTCTCTAAAAAGGCTCCATTACTATCAATTACAATTTGATTATTCAAGAGGGCAGTCCATTTCCCATACAGGTAAGTAAAACCATAAAAGAAATACAAAAAGCAGATCAAGTCACCAGGACAATGTCACAGATCCAGGAAACCAAGAAGAAGGCCAATGGGATGTTATAGGCCCCTGCCTGTTCTTTTTTCTTTCTGGATTGGTCATGAATAATGACACCAACCGATCACATCGTTGCTGAAAGAATGTCAGGTACACCACAAGCCAGGTGCTTTCTAGTTAAATTCAAGTTCAGATCCATTAAGGGCCAGTTCTATATAGGCTGGTATACTGTCATAGAATATTTCAGGGGTAATCTGAATAACCTGGTTTCATCATTATTAACATATTCATTGAAGCTGTCTTCTATCCAGAGCATCCTCTACATCCACAGTGAACACACTCCACAATACGACCCTGAAATATAAAGCGAATGGATGATAAATGTGTAACTAAACTTCTTTGAAGATGTGGTGGTCATTCATATGGAAATGATAAAGAACAAAGGGCTTTAGGATTGTAAAGCGTATCCCTTACCAGTTTTCAAATAATCAACAAAATAAAGCATAACAATAGGGGAATCATACATTGTCTAAGCTTTGAAGTATGAAAAAGCATTATCCTATTTTACATGTGCCTCGATATGCTACCTAATTTGAGACAAGTAAGTCACTACATTAATAACTGGTGATGAATGGCCTCGTTTTAGATGAAATGCAGTGCATTGAGAAACTTTTAAAGAAATGTTACCCCTTTCATTCATCTAAATAGATTAGTGCCATTTGTTGTCGTAAGATGGACTGCGGTACATTCATATAAACCAAATTGTCAGATTTTGTTCATTACAGTCATGCAGCTGCATAGTGGCATCATTACCAACTGACAAACGTATGATTTCTATTTAACATTACAGGACTGCGTTTTCAGGTGCACCATTCCTCTCTAATACCTTCATCAATCTTCTCACCTGTTGTCCCACAGTTCATATAAAACCATTTGACTTGAAATTATCTACAATTAGATCCAATTTTCTTCGAGGATGTTGTCAGGATTTTGCCATCACCAATATATCACTGGGATAAAAACCCACAATGCCAGAACAACAAGACGTGGGTAATTAGCATCTACCGACATGCTAAGCCCATCCTGTTAACATTGCTTAGAGCAAAACAAGCAAAGGCATCATATGGCAGAGCAAAAAGAACTACTTGGTTTTCTTTTCAATATATGTGTGTGTGTGGTAAACATAAAGTATTAACAGCATGTAAAAATAAACTATAACTTGTCAAATTTATTTAATCACTTTGGCAAAGTTCTTTTATGAAAATAAATAAATACATAAAAAATTAAATTATAAATAAATAAATTTAAAAATGCATAATTTTGCTTTGTGATATCTTACCTCTTCCAATTTGCTTTTTGGTACCCTGCAGATGCAATTTGTTCCAAAATTAGTGTCCCTTGCCTGTATACACCTCAAACAGCATAAGTTTTCATAGCCTTGTTTTTTCCATTTAGCAATAAGGCGGGCATCAGCAAGGTTCTCCTTAATGCAGTAATCGTATAGTTCTATAACAAAAATATAAAAAGATCTTAGTACAAAAAAGTCATTATTTCCCCTATTCTTCTTATATATAGGGTCCAACATAATATTTAATCATTTTTAGTGATGACAATAAAGTATTAATTAAACTTCTTCTTCTTCCTTCTTATATATATAAATTCCCCCCTTTTAAATTCGCTACATGGTTTACTTTGCCACGTGAAACTTTTTAGTCCATGTAAAAGACATCTTACCTTTACTTATTGCTTTTCTTTTGTGATATAAATCAAACACATAGCGAGATCTCTGATGATGGATCTTGAACACAGGCCACAGGGTTTCTACTTTACGTTTTCCTTCATGGGGATCTGTCTGAGCTGAAAAAAAATTTAATTTATATCCTGGCATGTAAGTTTATTTGTGATTAAAAACATTTTCAGTATCTAAGTACACAAATTAAAGAAATAAAAGGTAAACGTGAATCCATATGGGTATTATATTAGCATAAAAATTATTGATTTTATTTCAATTCACTGTGTTAATTGTGTTAGGCAATAGTGTTGTGACAGTTGAGAAAAACCACTGCACTTCCCAGTTACTTAGATTGCTCATAAGTTAACAGCCTAATTTGAATATATTGATCATGATGGATTACACAGATTTGTAACTTGTTGACTTATACTTTGAAAGCCCACAATTCGTAGTGCAAATGAATTCAATGATTAAAACGATTTGCCCTAGCCATTTCCATTTAACAAAATTGACTAATTAGTTCAGATGTCACGAAATAATGCCAGAGATTTAATGTATATTGCAATTACTACTAAAAACTTTGTGTTGATTCACCATGTTTTAATACTTAATTCTATTTCACTTCACTCCATTTCCAATATTCATTACACTGGGTGGTACAAACTGAAGTAAATGTGGTACTACTACTACTCTACTAGCAGAAATGGGAAAGGAAAAACTTTCTTCAGATTACTTACCTTCTCTCATTTTTTGATCCAATTCATCTAGCGTAGGTTCAATAAGTTCCCATCCCTCTGGAGGAGGCTTCTTACTTTTTCTCACTTTTCCCATGTCTGTTTATGGCCGTTTAAACTACCTGTTGTGAGACTGCAAATATTACGTTCTTTCTTCACGTTATTCTTCAGGAAGTGGTAAAGTAGGCACTGCGCAGACTCGGACAGAATTGTGGGATGCTGAAGAGCCCATCCGGTTTTTCTGGTGTGGTGCAATTCACTTTGTCATATTTTCCTTCTTTACTAGTCAAGTAAAATGCCGAGAGGTAAGTTAACCGTAAAAATGTTAAGAAATTCTAAAATGAGGTTGAAAAAGTATTCATTTTTTAATCAGTAGGCATGTTGTTATGTAAAATAAAGCATTAATCCGACACAACAGTGCTTACACTAAAGCAAGTTCTTCACATGGTTCCGACTTCCGAGTTCAACATTCTAGTTCTACCTCAATTTAAAGTAGGCAGTTGATTTAAGCTGTACATAAGAACCTTCAGATCTAGTAAATCAGATCTTGGATCGACCCAGCTGCTTGTGTTATTTTGTCAAACTGTTTATGTCTAGCATACATTTTAGACGTTTTTACATGTTCACCACACTGAGTGATAATGGATGAGGGATACTGAATATGTGCACTTCATGGGGGCGTCTCGATAGTCCGAAGGTTCATTGGTCCGAAAAGTGGTAACATTTTCATCGATTTTTTAATCAAGGGTTCATTGGTCCGAAGGTTCTATAGTGAACTTTCGGACCAATGAACCTTCGGACTATTGAACCTTCGGACTATCGCTACGGCCCCCACTTCATTACCACTGAAATTAAAACAACAAACGAGCCCCAGTGATGCTATTCCACATTGTTCATTATTGAATGCATTAAAAAAACAATGAACAGTTCCCAACATTCATTTAAAAATACTGGTTTTTAATATTGCATTAACTTTGTGCTATTAAGGTGGAAGCAGAGGGAAGAAATTTTCCCATAAGGGACAGAGACGACATTTCACAGATGCAGAAGATTTAAAGGCACAGCGTGAAGAAGATGAGAAGAGGAAGCACTGGAGGGTATCCTTTACTTACATATTTTTGTATACGAAATAAAATTTTCAATTTGAGGACCCACTGCATTTAGAATCCATCAGCTACTGTATTTTTGATAAAGAAACCAAATATTTACACATTCTGTTTGTCTTAATAGCTAACTAATTGAATATTGGACCCTAGGTGACACCTACCACTTACTATATTTTTATTGTATTATATAAAATAGAGAAATCAGGGTCTTCCTAGTGATGAGGAGTCAGAAGAGGAGGAAGAAACAGGGGCCAGTGAAACCAAGGCAACAAATAAAAAAGAACATGGAGCACCAGGTGAACTGCCTCCATCTTCCAGTGAGGAGAGCGATAGTGATGACGACGAAGTAGGTGATAGGGATTGTTTTGCGTTTGAATTGTTATTCTTGTGATATTTTCAGTGACTACATTGATATAGCTTAGTTTATGAGATAATGGGCTGCTTAGTGTTTTGATTGTGAGAATTATTATGTCATAGTACTTAAAGAACAGGATATACTATATTTTAGGCACATCATTCAGTGGGTGATCTATGTATGAATTCCAGAGCAAAAAAGTGACTGTGACTGAATAATTTATTAATATTATCGCAGTAGAATGTTACACATGATAATATTATGACCATTTTTTTTACCCAGAATAAAAAGGCAAAGGGTATTTCCTACCTCATCCAAGGAGAAATACATAATCCAAACATTGGAGGAAAAAGAAATAAAAAAGTTACAGACTTGAATATGGATGATGCTCCTAAGACAACATTATCCAGGAGAGAAAAGTAAGTAAGATTGTTATATAATCTGTTCATAGTTTTTCTTTTTATATCTGATCCATTAAGCTTTGTGGGCAGTGGATGTATATAACATATGAAAATTGACATTGAAGAGAGGAACTAGAACTTTATCTATTCACAGTTTTTCTTCTTTGTACAACTCTCTTCGTTTGACACACCTTCAAGTTAGCCTTATGGGTTCGGAATGTATGTGACATTTTGAAATTGTCATTGAAGGGAGGAACTAGAAAAGCAGAGAGCAAGATTACATTATCAAAAACTTCACAAGGAGGGAAAAACCGATGAAGCAAAAGCAGATTTAGCCAGGTTAGCAATCATCAAAAAGCAAAGAGAAGAGGCAGCAAGAAAAAGAGAGGAAGAACAGAAAGGTATTTTTCCAGTAGATATTTAAAATTTGTTTATTTGAAGTTGTTTTTGGGTTGTAAATATTCTTTCTTATGTGTTTACTTTTTATTGAATCAAAATACAAAGTTGGAGGGAAAAATCCTTTCCAGCACATGCAAGCAAAATAAGCCAGATAAAACTAATTGTTCCTTAGGATAGAGTCACTTATGTTGACAAAAAGAATTTCTATTGTTGTTTATAAAGATAAGTCTGGTAAACTCTCTTTGCTGTTAGTCTTTAAGCACAAATGGAAATGATTCAATTTCATTGTCCCACTTAATGTTATATATTATGTTTTCTAGCAAAGGAAGCTGCAGCCCAGAAGACATGATGCTGGATAACATTGTGACTCTTTATAACAGCCGTTTGTACTGCTCATAGTTACGAATTTCTCAACTTCAACATGTCATATAATACAAAAAATGCATGAAACGCGTGAAAAATAATACCTGTGAGAAGATGAAAAGCAAAGTGATGAAAAATGGGAAATAAAATACCTGGAACAAGAAAAATGGTAAATAGTGGGAGTTTCTTAGCACTTCTGAATTTCCCATTGGGACAATGGTGTTCATGTGTAAAACGCGGTGCTGGAGGAAAGTATCCAAGAAGTGTATTCTAAACCATTTAGAATAATTAGAGGTCGTTGGAGGCATATTTCATTGTAGTTTATTCTTCATATAAGACCATTTTTCTGCTGTCATGTATTTATATTCATGTGCTGCTTTAAGATTGTGTAAAAGAAATTTTTTGGGCGGAGGAAAATAAAAGGATTTGGTCTTGCAAAATTTCTTTTTTCTGTGGATTGCTTCCAGTTTAAAATTGCTGTTGTGTATTTAAATAGCTTGAACATTGTGGAAGTCTTGTTTTAAAAATAAGGCAGATATTCAGACTTCTTGTTTGAAGATGTTGAGATATTCTCTTTAAATTTGTACCAAGTAGAATTCACATTGTAATATCACTTGCTCATATAGACAGTATAAGGATAATCCGTGTATTTATAATACATTAATCACGTTTAATTGCAACTTTTCATTCTCCAACATTAGCAATAGATGTGTTATTTACCTACTTGCGACATATGTTTAGGAGCATGGCATGAATTTATCAGTCAAATGTATCAAGACTGGGTCAGAAAATATTTGTAGAAATGTTCTGCATTTAACCAGACCAGACCAGATCAGAGACATATTTAAAATAGGAGTTATAGTAGTCGTGATAATGGGACTTTAAATTATCTGCATGTGGCTAATTTTCTTTCTGTTTACCTGGCTCTGTTCTATATTTTAGGACAAATATTGTCAAATAAAAAAATGTCATTTTAATGATTTTTGGTTAGTCCTACAACCAAAATACAAAGGAGTGTTAATTGTAGACACTTTGTTGGAAGTCTGCTATTAAATTAATGAACTTCTAGGTAACCTCAAGATGAAATGAGAATTTAGTACATCATGATCACAGCACCTCTGACTTGACTGAGGATAACAACTGAGCAGGGTTTTTGTGTAATGAATTTTTTAATGAAAAACTATTGCACTTATACACCAAAGTTTTTCTTACAACCATAATGCAATAATAGTGCAAAAAGCAATATTTATGTCCACCCGTTCTTTCAGGTCATGGAAAAATCTATATACAGCTAAAACCAATAAATAAACTCACATCAGATTCTTAGGTTTAAAACGTTTACCTGTAAAGTTATCAATTTATGCTTTTTTGCAACACAAAACACTTCAATCTTAACTTACAAATGGTTTCATCTGGCTGAAAAAAAAACCCCCACAGTTCCATGCTCTCAGCATTACCAGCACTAAGAATTTAAAAACTTGTATTTTCTGATTGTATATCATGCCAGCACCATCACAGAAGGGTCCAATTAAATTCACCTCTTGTTTGATTCAGCACCAATGTATAAGCATGTCAGTATTGGAATATGCCTTTAAAATGAAAGTCAAAACCACAGTTACAAAAACTTTTTAATTGGTCATAAAAGTTTTAAAATTCATCAATTTTCACCTAGAACTTGAAATCCAGGAATACCAGCAAAGCTTTCTGAATCTGAAAGGAAAAAATTCTCATGTAAGTGAGAATGAAAAAGGCAATCAATCATTGCATTAAGTTATTATCTACCAAAATACAACTGTACTCTTCACAGAATTTCATAATTGTTCAAATATTATAAGTTTCATACTTAGAGATTCCTGTGTTAGCATTCTCTGTTTCTCAGACAGAATACATTTGCATGAGAAGACCCAATCTGGAGGGGACCATTCTGCCCACTGAAAAAAAATTCCGTCAAACTTATAATAAAATCACAAAATGTCGTTTCTCTTCAATATCCAAAATACAGCTACTCCTCAACATACTGACAGCCTAAAATGACTAGTCAACAAACTGACAAAAGTTATCACAAGACCACATTTTGCCTCTCTTAACTTTTTTTAAATAAATATAAAAAATATATATTATCATTTTTCAAAAACAATACTGTATTACCAAATAACCAGTAACATAACATACCAACCTCTTTATTAGGTGGATGATAAATACAGTGAACAGGTACTTTCAAGTCAAGAGTTGGAACTGCATCAACAGAAACTTCCACTTGCACATTGTATTCACACTGGAATGTCACAGATGATATTCTTCTAGTTATGATTTTGATCTTTTTCTGTACATTTTTTTAGTCAAATGTGAGAAGGAAAGGTGGCTGTAGCATAAGATTTACTTTTTGCTATCTGATAAAAATTGAGGCCAGACAATGCCTTTACAAAAAATGTGTGTTTTATGAATGCTCTGCGTACATAACGTACTTTGAAATTAGCCACATTTTTTTCAAGCCACTTCTCTGCTTGTCATTTTCTATTCCCTTTTTTTCTAGGAAACTAAAATAAATTGCTTACAAAAGAGGTGAATTAAACTCAATAGCCAAATTACTTCACAATGTTAATAGAACCTTACATGTATGTGCTCTCCATTGGATGTTGATGCTATTTCATTGGAGTTCAATGTATTGTCTGCTACTGCCAATGGTATAAACACTTTACTCAAACCTCTGAAAGCAATATCACAACATCTATCAATGGCAACAGATAATCAATTTCAGTAGTCGTTGCACAAAATCTTTTCGATCATTGGACCATTTCTTTTAATTAGTTAGCAGATAGTGATTATGTTAAACAAGTGAGATGTAAAATGAGGATTATTTTCAATTTATTACAGACTAAAATATTAGTACATATGAGAATCTACTGAAATATCAAAGGAGAATACAGAGCTACCCTTCACCCATTGCTAATTGAATAACAAATTTCTCTTAATTTTGTACTCTACAGGTAATGGATTATACCATCAATGCAAAATGTTTGTTATCAAATGCCTTTACTTTGTTTAAGCTATGAAATGACCAGTAAACACTGCACAATACTTCTCCAAAAGTTTAGGATTCCTGCCCTCCAATATCTTTCCCCACACTGTCCTTGTTCCCCCCTCAGGTTGAAATGTCAACAGCCCATGTTGTGGACTCTTGGCACTAGCTGTACTGGAGTTGGAGACAGTGCTGGTTGATCTGGGCCTCTTAAAGGCAAGATTCAAATCTCGTATCAGCTGGAAAATTTACGGAAAGTTTCATGACTATACAACACTGCAAATATTGTAAATTTGATACAGAAATAAAAACATGAGCAGAAATATTGTAGAAAAAAGATATTCTTCACCAGTCACAGCACATGATAACAGAGGTGTTTTAAAGGTATGATTGACAAACCTGCAGTGCACAATATATATTTACAGAGAAAAAAGAAGATATGCACTATATAAGCAATTTATATTAGGTTATGTTTTTAAAACATGTCCAGATTATGAGAATAAAAAATGACATCTGATATAGCAAACCTTTATTGTTATTTTGTTTATTCTTTTTGAAGTACGATTTTCAACACCTAAATTAAGGACAGCTGTCTCACCAGCATGATATGCTGAACGATTTAATCTGGAAAAATAATGAAAATTGTAAATTTTAAGGCAAAGGTCAAATCAATGTTTAAAAAAAGCAGCATGACAATAAACTAGGATATGGTTTTGGAAATTTTTTCTTCAGTAACCCACAATAACTTCATCTTATTGACATTTATTTGATCCACTGTATTCTAATGCATTTTGCAGATCATTTTAAGGAATTAATTCAGGATGAATGAAATTCATTCCTTATAATTATGATCCTTCATCGTTGATCTAAAACGTGAACATTTCTGTTTACACCTAATTGGAGTTTAATTGTTATATGGCATGTTTAAGTCATGTGTTACTAGGCAATTACAATTTTTGAGCACTAAATATTAAGAATCAGAGAATTAACATTTTGACAAGACTGCTTCAACTGAAACATTGTAAAATTCTGCTGAAACTCACTTGGCACTGACTGTTAATAAACCCTTCAGTAATCCAAACATTCTCCTGACCTCACAAGTGACCTTGACTGGGTCAGGGTCATCTATCTTGTTTAAATCTGGCACTGCCTGATATATGACAAGAGGCTGTGTAGTCTGGAATGTAGCAGGATTTATTATTTATACTGTTTACATTTCTACACGATGCTTTCATTACAAGCAAAATGTGTTTTGACTTGAAATCTAAAAATATGTGTCAAAATTCTAATCCATTTGCATCAAAATTGTGATAAAAAGCTTTAATGTGATAAATGTGATAAAAATACAAGGCTTACAGTCATTTCCAAATATGTTATATAAAAACTGCTTCAATTATATTTAGATCTATATAACCTTTATACTTTCTGCTCCAATAACCTCAGCAGTCACATAGTATTCCACCAAACCTGACCATTTTGCTGGTTCACAACCAGAAAGAGAGAATGTGCCTGGGTGAATAAAAACAATTATTTAACAATTAGACATAAACACCAAAGCTGGAAGGTATGCATGCATCACATAAACCAAAGTGGAAAATGTGGAGAAAAAGGTTTGACCAATTAAGGCAGGCAATAAACTAGGCATTGACAAAGGCATAGACAAAGGCACAGGCAAAGGTACAGACATAGAGGGACAGACATATAGGGTGCGGTCACAATGAAGCTGTTATACATCATCATAACACATACTGCTAGGTACATTGTAGTTCAAACTAACCCAGACAGGACTCTCGCTGAATGCAATCAGATTAAAAGATTAACATGCTTCCTCTTGTTTCCTAATATTATCACCAGCTTTTCTGTATTCTAGTCAAGGCCAGGAGGCAGGTTAATCTGTTTGCATTCAGTAAGGCTGTATTCCCAGAGCTTTTAGATCGATCTATCCCCGCAGGGAGTCTCACTAGATTACTGTCAGATAATCCGGCTTAAATGTCCGTCCCGCCTACTACAAGCTGTAAGGGGGTAATTAACTTTCGTGTCCGCACGGCTAACAGCTATTTAGCGTGAACCCCCAGGGAGTTAGGTCGATCTAAAGTAGATCGATCTAATCTCTGGAAATGGGGTCTAAGGCTCTATTCCCATAGATTTTAGATTGATCTATCCCCGCGGGGAGTCTCACTAGATTACTTTCAGATAATCCGACTTAAATGTCCGTCCCGCCTACTACGAGCTGTAAGAGGGTAATTAAGTTTCGTGTCCGCCCGGCTGACAGCTATTTAGCGTGAACCCCCAGGGAGTTAGGTCGATCTAAAGTAGATCGATCTAATCTCTGGAAATGGGGTCTAAGAGTCCCATAGGGATTACTGTAATTTGAACAAACTTATACGACAGTTTCATGGAGATCGCACCCATAAACAGTACCTGGTATTTCCTGAGGTAGAGGATACTGAAATGGGTACATGTACTGCCCACGAGGGATGGTCCCACCTGAAATCAAATGGGCAAAATGTGATATCTGTAAACAATTACAAACTTCACACGCTATACATAAAACCTTTTTGGTGGTTAAACACCAATAAAGCATACAATACAAAATCAATGTAGTCTTTCACAAGGTGTTACTGGCAGACTTGAATTGACCACATGAATGTTCCTCTTCAGGGGCGGATTTAGGCCGTCTTCTGGGTCTTCTGGAAGACGGTCAGATTTTCAAGTTTACATTGTCAGCCATCTAATGTTTTCTGTCGGAAGACGGTCAAAAATGGAAGATGGATCAACAAAGATAATGTGGAAGACTGTCAGAAAATATCTCTGGATCCACCCCTGCTCTTAATTTTATCTTTGTTAAGTACTGTATGATAATGTTATGTAGTTACATGTAGAACATGTCTATTCAACAATTCAGAAGACAATTAGCTGTATCTAAATTCAAAGAAAAAATCTTACTGGTAGATTGGTAGAGCTTAAAATCACAGTTAACATATTCTTGATGGCCCTTCACACGTTCTAATGCTGCACTCTCTCCAGATGAAGTAGACTGAATGTCTTCAAACCAATCTGAAAGAACACTTTATTACATGAACCATATGGTCAATTAGATTTTTCTCAAGTTACTTGTGTTTCAACAGTTTTATATAGAAGTAAAAGTCATAAAACTAGTACACGCATCACTGAGGAAATCCTAGGGAGTCTCAGAGAAAAATTTTTCTATTTATCTCCAGAAAGAAATATTTTCCAGAAAATACTCTTCAAAAAGGAAGCAATTTTGCACATCATGTCTAGTGGTGATTCAGTACAAATCTCAGGGTACATGCATCTCTATTATTCTGCATTCTGAGTCCAAGATTTTTTTCCTGGCACTTTTCAAGTGTTGTGTTGTTGGTCAACACAAATTTTTTTGTCTCTTGGTAAGAACAACAACCTTTTATGTGACAAAGATTGTGCCTGCCCAAAAGAAAAAAAAACTCACACTTTTCATATCCTCTGATCTTCAGCTTGATGCCATGTCCGCTTGTTGGTGATCTTATTATCAAATACACAACTCTAAAATAGAAATAATAGTCTATATTTGATTTAATGTAGACCTATATACGTAATTCTAGTTAACTCACTTCACATGGAGTGAGGAGATTGTATATTTTCATGCAGGATACAACTCCTTGAATGGAATTAGCACACATTTCCATATGCACTGACAACACAGCTAGGTACTGATAGATACTAGAAGTAACATCCATGTACTATGCCCCAAACCTTCTCTGTCTCTGATTTTGATTTTTTTTTTTTTTTTTTTTGTAAATTCAGCCTTAATTTATATACATATGTGGTTGACTAAATTAGTTCTATTTTCTAAGCTATTTAAGTAAATAAGTTTGGTAATTAATTAATGATTATCTGATGTTTTTATTTAAAAAAAAAACCTTCAAGTTCATGCAAATACTATTATAATGAGGGCGGAGATAACTTCAGGGGTGAACATAGAAAAATCACTAAATAAATTACTATAATTAACTTATACAGGTTATACAATGTACATGTAAGCAAACAAATTCTTTGCTACGAGATATAACATGGGTTTTCCGTTAGTCAAAATGCATCATAAATTGTGAAATTTGTCAGCTCATCAACTATTTGTTTGTAATTGAGAATTTTCAAAACGTGAGACAAAGCTGTCCACTAATAAAATATAAAACATGGCATACAGTAACTTGAAAGTGACAACTTAGTTTTTAAAGTTAAACGTTACCCTGACACTTTTTCTCCACCAAAGTATTCCCCCTTGTCGGTACGAAGAAGAATTTGATTCATGGCGTCTCAAAATGGAGTTGTTTTGGTTTTCGTCTCATTGTAGGATAAAAAAATGCCGCATCACAATAACATACAGAAAGTAGGGTAGCGGAAATGTTTACGGTGCAGCAGTGACACCTGTCGAGATATTTACCATGACGAGCCTTTATCAAAATATTGTAGTAGACTATGTACGAACTGTCTGCAGCGGCATGATGGACGTTATATATTGATTCCAACTTTGCACACTGCTCCTGATAATATCATTGATCCAAGAAACTTTGCCAGTACGTTCTATTCACGTATAAAAAGTTTGATGAAATTTACAATTTAGAATTTTTTTGTTTATTCTACCCCCCCCCCCAAAAAAAAACAAAAAAAAAAAAAAAAAAACAAGAAAAATATTTCACATTTTGCATAACTACAATTTGCACTTAAATGATCTGTTCTCATGTGTTTAAAACGCTCCCACAATATATATTAAGTGTAGGTTATTCTGACCCAGATAGCAATTAAGCAGTTCTAACCATATAAAGAGGTGGCCAACAACTAATCGAAGTATGTTCAAATAGGCAAGATGGAATGAGTTCATTCCAACGGAGAGGGTGTCAGGTGGGGAGAGTCCATTCCAACTGAAAGGGTGACAGGTAGGGTGGGTCCATTTCATTGAAGGGGGGTCAGGTAGGGCAAGTCCATTCCATTGGGAGGGGTGTCAGGTGGGGCGAGTCCATTTCAGTTGAGGGATGTCAGGTTGGGCAAGTCCATTCAACTGACAGGTTGACAGGTAGGGTGGGTCCATTTCATTGAAGGGGGTCAGGTAGGGCAAGTCCATTCCATTGGGAGGGGTGTCAGGTGGGGCGAGTCCATTTCAGTTGAGGGATGTCAGGTTGGGTGAGCCCATGTCATCTAAAGGGGTGGCAGGTGGGAAAGGTCCATACTGTTGGAGGGGGGTGTCACATGGGTCAAGTTCATTTCATTCAAGGGGCGTCAGGCAAGACAAGTCCATTCCTTTAGAGGGGTGTTATGCAGGTCGAGTTCATTTCATTCAAGGGGCGTCAGTTACTTAGACAAGTCCATTCCATTGGAGGGGGTAGGTGGGTTAAGTCAATTTTATTTTAAGAGTGTCAAATTTAGCTATTTCACCACCAATGGAAGGTATTATAAAAACGGGCCCTCAAGAAGTGAAGTCAATCATAGGTGACCCTGGCCACCCAGCAAATTGTTTGTTTATATCACAAGGTATGTCATCAATACGACAACAGTCCTTAAAGGCAACTTTTTACCCATCAGCAACCCGCATTTTTAACTTGTTGAATTCGAAATTTGTGACAAAAATGCAGTATGGAATCAGAAATGTATTTCAAATATTATTTCTAATTATTTCCAATTTATATTGTTATATCCTAACCTATAAATTTCGGGCAAATTTAGACTGTTGCCATGAAAAAAGCGTGGTGTAAGGTGACATCAAAATTGTTCATCTTTTTCATTTTTTTTTTTGTTCAAAAATTTAAACTGAAGTAAATATATGAAGAATAGGTCACAATATATAAATCAATTAAAAAAACAGAAAATCATAACCCATCAAAAGTGGACCCGTCCTGTATAAAAAATATCGAAAAATTATATCAAGGACAATTGAATTAGTTCCATTTTCCTATAGAACAAAATTTACTGTGATTTTTAAAAAGTAGGATTGTAAATTTAAACAAGTTTGATCTTTAAACGCGGTTTGTTGGAAAGTGCTTTAGCTATTTTCTCTTAGCGTGTTAAAACAGATTAAATGCTCAAATTCCATTATTTACAAGATACTGGGCATTTTACAATTCAATTTTAGATACCATTGAAAACCGTCAATCACAAAAGCGTCCAGACATTATTTACAGATCAGATATAGCGGATTGATTTTTATACAGTCAAACACGTGATAATACCACGTGAAAATTCCTCTTATCATAACTACTATCTTTTTCATCATAATTTCATAACAAAATAAAAAAAAAAAACGATTTACAAAAGTATTTATTCAGTTTTCGTATAATAGATGCACGAATGAGCGTGGTGCTCCTAGGTGTGAAACAAAGGCTAGGCACCGTGGCTGCTTGCTGAAGAATGTGCGAAATGTACTTGATCTTCTGAAAAGAAAAAAAGATAATATTTACAACCTAAGACTAAACGGGCAGGTTTTTACCATACGGATAATGCATGTAATATCACAGAGGAGAGGGTACTTGTAATCAAAATGACTTGCGTGTTTGTTGACTCGTCTGATGTTTAGATTCAGCTAGCGCAGAAAAAAAAAACTAATCAAGGTTGCCTAACGACAAAATCATGATTTTGAATTAGTTAATGATATAACTATCTGAGACCCCTCGCTAAAAAAGAAACATTGATAACACAACCCGTCTCATTATTTCTCTTGATATTAAAGGTTATAACACTTATTGTGGTACATGTTGACGCATTTCAGAGAAAAAAAACTCAGTTACATTCTCTTCTACTAATATACCTTGCGCTTGTACAATAATTGCAATAGAATTTTTTTTTCAAAAAGAAATCCTTTTAAAACCATCACAATTGTGGTCGAAAGAGTTGATAAAATTGTTGATAAAATTTGACTATGGAATTGATATGCACATTGACGGGACACACTTATCTTTGGATCAGACGCTCAGAACTGTGTCACTCATCATCTTATTAATTAATCAGTGATCTTGGTGGTAACACTTATATTTGAACACACGCCCTTTAAAATTGGGTCAAATATTCGAAAACCAATTGTCAAGGGGGTACACAAAATGATATTTTTAAACAGAGCTAAAAAGTGCAGAGCTAAAAGATTCCAAGCAAACTAAAGTTATCATCAAAAGTCAGAGCACCGTTCATCTCGTACATTTGGAGTCCCAATGAATTATAACCAATAAATTATACTTGTATGACTGACATACAATTAACAAAGGCAATGGCAGGACAAGGACTCATGTCATAAATATTCGTCGTATATATTCTTACATTCTTCTGCACTTTTAGTATGTAATGGCGTTGGTTACTGAAGAATAAGGATACTCACAAACATGTATTTGCTCCTACAATGTATGGCATATAAAAGCTCGACCTTGTGACTGCATTACACATACTGTTGCGTCTACACCCCACTCTGTACAACTGCCAAGTGAGCATTTGGGAAGACAGCTCGCACTACGATGGGCAACTTATTTTTATGCAAATTGAAACAGGTAGGCTCATTTTAGGTGAGAGGTTCTTACTTGCCTCAATTTTCGCTGGTAAGCGTACCGTGAGCATGTAAGGCCAAAAAGCTGAGGCAATGTTGTTACTGAAACCGTTCACGAACATTCAATAAATCCGGTGGCGATGCTTCACGTACGAGCAAATTTGATTTAAGGACTAGGAATGGGCCGTAACATACGTTGCTCATCCGTAAATCTTTACACCAGGTGTGACAGAGCCCTTATATATTGGTAAGACCACGTTAAGAAAACGAGATTCTCTCACTCTGTACTATACACTGCTACTTTTATTGTCATTGATCCGAGAAAACGTATGAATTTTGATGAAATTTACAAATTATACATATAAATATTTATTTAGCCAATATATTTTGGCTTAATAATTGTTTATCTTATTATTTTGAGGCCTCTCCTTGTGTGAATATATCTATTTAAGCAGTAGTTTTAGACTGAAAGATGCAGTAAGTCGTCAACATAAGGAAATTGAAACAGTTCACAAAATTTCTCGATATGTATAAGATATAGACCAACGCATTTCCGACAGCAGTGGCGTTTTATTTTCATTAGAAACATTTTACAATGCAAGCTCCAGCAAGATCTTCCTCATTAATAATCATTTTACAGGATTTTTGTAGTTTGAAAGTTTGTCACGTCTTATATATAGCAACTCGCTATTGTATTCATCGGTGACTTTAAAACATCCCATGTTTTGCAGTTTCAAAAAATTTTTCAACCTCACTTCTGTTTCCTTGATTATCGACCTCGCTTCCCTTCGAGCCTTTTACTGCTAGGGCGGACCTTTTTCTCTTCTTTCTCTGTCTCGTCTTTCATTCGCTTCCTCACGCCGTCTTGCAAAAACGTATTCAGCGTAGGTGAGATAGCCATCATTGTCTAAGTCGTCTTCCTCCAGAACAGTATCAACTATTTCTGAAATATAAAAAAAGAATGTAATATATCTCATCATCATGGTGGTGGTGGTGGTGGTGGTGGTGGTGATGGTGTGTGTGTGTGTGTGAGAGAGAGAGAGAGAGGGAGAGGGAGAGAGAGGGGGTTGCTCTTGCTCAAATGTCTATACATCTCAAATTTTTCCCATAACTAAAACATTTCGTCAATCTATCAAAATATAACTGAACCTGTGTAATAGTGCAGGTAGTCATCAGGCACTGGTTTTTGTCTTTTATGCAGCTCTCGTTTTTGTTCATCGATTTCTCTTTCCATCTCTTCTCGAGCTGAAAAGTGCGTTAGTGCAGAAAGAATTTCCAGCCCGTCCAACCTGCTATTGTTGTCAAAGTCATGGAGCCTAAAATAGTTAATGGGGGAAAAAAAAAGAAAAAAAAATCGCATGCAAAGACAACATCCAACTATAATGCAAATATCATATTCAAATGCATTCTGATGACCATTTCTTTATCACTACATATATAGTTCCGTTTAATATTTGTAACAGTAGAGTAAATTATTGTCTTCTTGTTTCAGATAAATGTATGGGAAATTATGAATTATCTACACGTGTTTTCAACATTAGTTCATAACGGCATCTAGTCATTTGATAAAACGCAGTCTATCATGATAATTTATATACATTATGCGATAACTCATGAGAAGCTAAAGATGAATGTATTCTTTCAAACCGTACTTAAAATAATGAAATTCTAATTCTTCTGGTGTCAATGCCGTTTCGTTTATATCCGTCAGCCCTTCGTAGTGCTCCTTGATATGCCTGGAAAATTTAATATGTAAACAACGCCATTGATCGAGCAGGTAATCTCAGCATTATTGTCGTTCGAGTATGATCAAAATGAAACAGTATCCCTTCTTGTCTTTCATTTCGTAGCTTCTCTTTAGGTGTGTGTCATAAAACACAAAAGAGAAAAATTCTAACCATTCTCCAATGAAATCATTTACTTAAAATATACGTAAATGACAATATTTTTCCAAAAGCCATTTACTTAACTGCACGTGGGGGAGGGGGCTTGGAGGATCAGGACCTTTTTTTCTAAAATGGAATAGCAGATTTATATCCTGTCCTCCACAAACGGTGTACTTCAAAATGAAAACTCCCTTGACGAATTCATCAAAAATTGACCCGCGGGGTGGACAAGGGTTGATGAAAGGGCATTTTGGATTAAAACCCTTGAACCGTTTTCCGTGCTCCCAATACATAGTGCGGATGATATTGTTTCGGTTAAGCAATTTAGGTATTATTCAGAGAGAGGGGGGGGGCATCTTGTACGTCTCATAAAGATTACTCACTGCGCATCCTGGACGACTCGTGGATCGTGGAAATGGTTGGCAGATCCCCTCTCCCCACTCGCAGTCGGTGCATGACCATGACCCCCTGCGTGAGCCTCACTCAGGCTTATCATCAGAGCCAAGGCCAGTATGGTGGCTCCCGTTTGCTTCCATCCCTGACACATTGCCGACCTGAAAATAAGTTATTATTAAATTCTTTAAAAAAGAAGTTGGGCAAAATTAAACAAAGCTCTTAATGCCGGTAACGTGACAGAGAGCCCCTACCCCCACCCCCATGATAGAGAGTCCGCTTCCCATTCATTTGTACAGGTAAGCCTCGCCCTAGATTTTGACCCATTTAGGTCAGGCTAACCCTAACCATTATAACTAAATGGAGGGCGGACTTTCTGTCACACGGGCCGTAAGTTTTGTTACACCAGATTTCAGATTGAAAAAGACCAAAAAAGTGGCACCAGTGTTTAACACCATGTAACTATAGCTACCTGTCTTCTAACTATAACGTGGCTTCTTTGTAAACTAGCGGAAGTTGTCTCGATTGAAACGTGTTCGCTTCCACCTAATCACGATGAAGGTGTGCTGTTACTTGTATCTGGTGTCAACACATAAGACGATTGAAATCAAGTTGACGATATATGATATGCAGACAGATCACATTTACAAATGTAGTACGTGGAATTTCGTTTTGTACTACAGGTATTCCGTTTGTTTGTCAGCCGGCGTATCGTTAAGTCCTGTTCCTCCAGTCCTATATTGCTCTATACCCACGTACCTAGTTTAAAGGCCACTTTTTAACATGGGTCGTTGGTTTTACTCTAAAGATTCACAACCTGAAAGCTCTACAGTAAATGCTACGTAAAGGTAGATAACTAAAGGCTATCCAGGGTCTGGGTCTGCTGGTTTCTTTACAATAAAGTGACAATATGAAAGACAGCACCTGTATAACAAGACAGTTGTATGTAACAATGGCACAAATCCTTACAATGCGTACTTTTGGGTGTGATAATATAGAATCAAACTGAGAGAGAGAGAGTCCTCATATGGTAGACACATATTACGATTACATCTAACAGATGGCAATAGGCCTATGTTTTACTTCGGTAAAATGTACCCATCCCAATCAAGTTATATTTTTTTCTCGTTTTGCTTGGTTAACTCCAAGTGTATGTACTCGAGTGTAGTTTGCAACCGGTGCGCGTCACCATGGTGATAGTTTTATTGATTTTATTCCGTAGCGTGGGTGAGACCATCATAAATCAGGATATACTTACGCAGAACGGGGCTGTGTCACTTCCATGGTTGTTTCAACTCCAGGCTCCAGGCGAAGTAGAATAGGTCCTAAACAAATGTCCCTCCCTATTCTACTTCACCCGTTTCGAACACTCAAGGTTCAGGTTTAGTCTTACCGTTTCTTTTCCTCGGAAAACGCAGCTGCTACATGAAGATGCTTTGTCGACTCCCCTGCGCCAGTCTCGTTTTGAAGTAGATAGATGGAAATTAGCAATCAATACATATGCAGTTGATGCCATGCATATATTGGATACGTTAATGAAAAAAATGGACAAATCGCCCGTTTTACACGCATTTAAACTAGTACACATTTTCTTTAAAATTGTCGCAATTGTCTTGTACATTGTTTCAGTTGCCAATAAGGAAACGTGTCTGAGCAAACTTCACCTTGACCGCAATCCAAAAAAATGTTATTCTAGGTTTCTCATTTCATTTCACGAGTCTCATTATATTTCCGTAACTCACATGTAAGTTTTAGGGAATTTTATTGTGTTTAGTTGGATTTGCTGATACTGTACGTTTATGAGATCGTTTTTTAAAATTATTTTCCATTGCAGTGAATAAAAAAGGAACTCCAATCGATGCAAATTGAAGTAGAAAAGGAAACCTTTGGATAATTTGTGCTATTCACTTTAAAATGAATTCATTTTGGCAATTTGGCAATTTGAGAAAATACACCCCAAGGCGGGAAAATACCACCTATGACATGTTTGGAAAATATCATAGATGAAAACAATTTTGTGAATTGAGCGTTTTTATCTTTTAGCCGTCGTACATTATCCACCCTGACTGCTTGATGTTTGATTTGCTCTAGTTAATGGGTCAATTTCGAATGGGAATTTTACCGTTTTATGTAGAAACATGCACGTATACAAACACAAATAAAAGAAATAGATGAAAAACACTTCTTACTTCAGTGCACTGTATACAAAAGAAAGATCTGAATTTAATAATACGTTGGGTCTTCAATCTTATGGGATAAGTTCTTTAGAATACATGTACATTACGAAAAATATGACAGCTTGCAAAATTTATAGTAACAATATACGATATATAGGCTATGTAAGACAAAAACAATTATAATCGTTAAGTGTCTATAAGCCCGAAGGGCTGGGTGTTTTCCTCAACATGTAACATATGACACTATACCAAATGAGGGAATGAATGAATGAATGAATAATGAGATAAAGCTTTGAAAACGAGATTTTCAAAACAATCTTAAAGACATAATGGAATACTTTGTTTTCTAAGAAAAAAGACAAAATTTTATTGCTATATGATGCAGATAAACAGTAGTCCTTTAATATCCTACACATACAAGTGTAAAACACATTGGCTAAAAATAATACTTTTTTCACTATCCTGAATTGCTACTGAAACCAGACCGCTGTATATCACATTTAAGCGATCTGATGATAATCTCGGCGCGTGGAAGTTTGCACGTGCCGCTTCAGCATGTGCTTGACACATTCCTGGACAGAGCTATGATGACTAAATGAAAACCTCGGGAGTGATCAGCCAGAAATTATCTGCTCATTAGCGTCAAGAACACCGCGTATACATTGGATTAACTTTTCCTTTTGATACGTCCAATTAGGCCCAAACCGTCGATTACGATGTCAATGTAATTGGGAAGTTAATTTTCTGTTTGTTGATTGAATTTTAAAGTATTGATCTCGCTTCCTGAATGTGCTCTTCCTATTTCATTGTTCATTGCGCAAGGAATCAAATCTGTGTACTTCATTAGGCCAATAGAGAGATCTGAAGAAGAGCTCAAATGTGTGTGTGTGTGTGTGTACGCTGAAGGGAAGGGGGGCAGTGGGCTCTTTCCTTCATTTACAAATACGTTCCTTACGTTTGTAATATTGCATTTATTATTTTTCTTCAAAGCAATATTTACCGATGTTTAAAATATATTGGAATTTGCTACTTTTAGAAATCACATCTATTACAGGGACTGCTGGATTATATTTATTATTCATTTATCTTTTACGAAATTATTAACGAAAAGAGCAGAAGAAACATGTATCGTTCTTTATCCACACATTAACCATTTACTAGAGGTAATAGCCGAGAAAAATATTTTATTTAGTATTTCCAGTTAAAATAGGACTATTATATATTATTACACCATATAACATTTATGGCGANTTTTTTTTAAAATTTTTTAAAAAAAAATTGGGGAAAAAATAAAAAAACCCTTTATGCCCGGTAACGTTTGCAAAGAGCCCCCCCCCCCCCCCCCCCCCCATGATAGAAAGTCCGCTTCCTATTCATTTGTACAGGTAAGCCTCGACCTAGATTTTGACCCACTTAGGTCAGGCTAACCCTAACCATTATAACTAAATGGAGGGCGGACTTTCTGTCACACGGACCCCAAGTTTTGTTACACCAGATTTCAGATTGAAAAAGACCAAAAAGTGGCACCAGTGTTTAACACCATGTAACTATAGCTACCTGTCTTCTAACAATAACGTGGCTTCTTTGTAAACTAGCGGAAGTTGTCTCGATTGAAACGTGTTCGCTTCCACCTAATCACGATGAAGGTGTGCTGTTACTTGTATCTGGTGTCAACACATAAGACGATTGAAATCAAGTTGACGATATATGATATGCAGACAAATCACATTTACAAATGTAGTACGTGGAATTTTGTTTTGTACTACAGGTATTCCGTTTGTTTGTCAGCCGGCGTGTCGTTAAGTCCTGTTCCTCCAGTCCTATATTGCTCTATACCCACGTACCTAGTTTAAAGGCCACTTTTTAACATGGGTCGTTGGTTTTACTCTAAAGATTCACATCCTGAAAGCTCGAAATGCTACGTAAAGGTAGATAACTAAAGGCTATCCAGGGTCTGGGTCTGCTGGTTTCTTTACAATAAAGTGACAATATGAAAGACAGCACCTGTATAACAAGACAGTTGTATGTAACAATGGCACAAATCCTTACAATGCGTAATTTTGGGTGTGATTATATAGAATCAAACTGAGAGAGAGACAGTCCTCATATGGTAGACACATACATCTAACAGATGGCAATAGGCTTATGTTTTACTTCGGTAAAATGTACCCATCCCAATCAAGTTATAATTTTTTCTCGTTTTGCTTGGTTAACTCCAAGTGTATGTACTCGAGTGTAGTTTGCAACCGGTGCGCGTCACCATGGTGACAGTTTTATTGATTTTATTCCGTAGCGTGGGTGAGACCATCATAAATCAGGATATACTTACGCAGAACGGGGCTGTGTCACTTCCATGGTTGTTTTAACTCCAGGCCCCAGGCGAAGTAGAATAGGTCCTAAACAAATGTCCCTCCCTATTCTACTTCACCCGTTTCGAACACTCAAGGTTCAGGTTTAGTCTTACCGTTTCTTTTCCTCAGAAAACGCAGCTGCTACATGAAGATGCTTTGTCGACTCCCCTGCGCCAGTCTCGTTTTGAAGTAGATAGATGGAAATTAGCAATCAATACATATGCAGTTGATGCCATGCATATATTGGATACGTTAATGAACAAAAATGGACCAATCGCCCGTTTTACACGCATATCAACTAGTACACATTTTCTTTAAAATTGTCGCAATTGTCTTGAACATTGTTTTGTCTGGGCAAACTTCACCTTGACCGCAATCCCAAAAATTGTTATTCTAGGTTTCTGATTTCATTTCACGAGTATCATTATATTTCCGTAACTCACATGTAAGTTTTGGGGAATTTTATTGTGTTTAGTTGGATTTGCTGATACTGTACGTTTATGAGATCGTTTTTTAAAATCATTTTCCATTGCAAGGAATAAAAAAGGAACTCCAATCGATGCAAACTGAAGTAGAAAAGGAAACCTTTGGATAATTTGTGCTATTCACTTTTATGCGAAAATGAATTCATTTTGGCAGTTTGAGAAAATACATCCCAAGGCGGGAAAATACCACCTATGACATGTTTGGAAAATATCATAGATGAAAACAATTTTGTGAGTTGAGTGTTTTTATCTTTTAGCCGTCGTACATTATCCACCTTGGCTGCTTGATGTTTGATTTGCTCTAGTTAATGGGTCAATTTCGAATGGGAATTTTACCGTTTTATGTAGAAACATGCACGTATACAAACACAAATAAAATAAATAGATGAAAAACACTTCTTACTTCAGTGTACTGTATACAAAAGAAAGATCTGAATTTAATAATACGTTGGGTCTTCAATCTCATGGGATAAGTTCTTTAGAATACATGTACATTACGAAAAATATGACAGCTTGCAAAATTTATAGTAACAATATACGATACATAGGCTATGTAAGGCAAAAACAATTATAATCGTTAAGTGTCTATAAACCCGAAGGACTGGGTGTTTTCCTCAACATGTACCATATGACACTATACCAAATGAGGGAATGAATGAATGAATGAATAATGGGATAAAGCTTTGAAAACGAGATTTTCAAAACAATCTTTGAGACATAATGGAATACTTTGTTTTCTAAGAAAAAAGACAAAATTTTATTGCTAGATGATGCATATAAACAGTAGTCCTTTAAGTATCCTTCACATACAAGTGTAAAGCACATTGGCTAAAATTAATACTTTTTTCACTATCCTGAATTGCTACTGAAACCAGACCGCTGTATATCACATTTAAGCGATCTGATGATAATCTCGGCGCGTGGAAGTTTGCACGTGCCGCTTCAGCATGTGCTTGACACATTCCTGGACAGAGCTATGATGACTAAATGAAAACCTCGGGAGTGATCAGCCAGAAATTATCTGCTCATTAGCGTCAAGAACACCGCGTATACATTGGATTAACTTTTCCTTTTGATACGTCCAATTAGGCCCAAACCGTCGATTACGATGTCAATGTAATTGGGAAGTTAATTTTCTGTTTGTTGATTGAATTTTAAAGTATTGATCTCGCTTCCTGAATGTGCTCTTCCTATTTCATTGTTCATTGCGCAAGGAATCAAATCTGTGTACTTCATTAGGCCAATAGAGAGATCTGAAGAAGAGCTCAAATGTGTGTGTGTGTGTATATGCTGAAGGGGGGGGGGGGCAGTGTGCTCTTTCCTTCATTTACAAATACGTTCCTTACGTTTGTAATATTGCATTTATTAATTTTCTTCAAAGCACTATTTACCGATGTTTAAAATATATTGGAATTTGCTACTTTAAGATATCACATCTATTACAGGGACTGCTGGATTATATTTATTATTCATTTATCTTTTAAGAAATTATTAACGAAAAGAGCAGAAGAAACATGTATCGTTCTTTATCCACACAATCTTTTAAGAAATTATTAACGAAAAGAGCAGAAGAAACATGCATCGTTCTTTATCCCCACATTAACCATTTACTAGAGGTAATAGCCGAGAAAAATATTTTATTTAGTATTTCCAGTTAAAATAGGACTATTATATATTATTACACCACATAACATTTATGGCGAAAATCTGTGCACTTTATTAGGCCAATAGGAGATCCTAAGAAAAGCTGAAATCTGTCTGTGTGTGTGTGTGTGTGTGTGTGTGCTCCTTCCAGAATCCTGGCATTTATCATGTTTGTTTAAAGTAATATTTACCGATGTTAAGAATATATTGGAATTATCTACTCACATCTATTACAGAAACATTTTATGTAATATTTTTTCCAGTTTAAATAAGACTATCATATATAATTACACCATATAACATTTATGGCGAAAATATAATTACACCATATAACATTTATGGCGAAAAGGAAAGTTACTTATCAGATTTTACCAACTTCATGTGCTCATAATTATACTATCAAATTTTATACTTGGCATTTTGATAAATTGTTTTTTCATACTAACTTTTCACTGTGATATTAGTTTTTAATGGGGAATAATTAACAATAACAGTATCCAGATTAAACAGCAGGTCCACAGTAGGGAATACTGCATCGATGAATATAATTATAACTTGCTGTGACGGAGGAAGACTTTGTTCATTAGAGATATGAGACATCGCTCAGCCGTGGTGTTGTCTACTGTCGTCTCCATTTTAGCAACATGGATTGTGCAGCAAATTGATTTCGATCGAATCTGAAGCTATTTCATTACAAGGTGCCACAGGACAGAAAACAAAATCATTCAAATGCCTTGGTCAGCGCTAGAGTTTGAAAAATCCAATTTCCAATCGCTGATAAAATTCATGAAGTTCTTTAAAAGGCAATCATTTCGATATGAACAAATTAACCTGCAATCAGTCTTAAAACCAGTTGAATTTGCGATTTGATGAAACGGATTGATATGTGCCGATTGCATTTTGCTCGGAGTTGCAGGGCAATTTCCGAAATCAATTTGATATTATAACGATCAATTCTATTTTCCTCCTCGGTATCCTTTGTAGTTCTTTCAATCCATAGACCACAGAACTGGGATTTTCTTTTCTGTAAACACCCTTTCTCAAATAAAAAAGATTTGCATATTTTTGGCTTTAAAGACAATAGCTTCGTTATTTTTTTTATCAATATTAACAATGGTGTATGAAACAAATGGGAACTTTAAGACGAGAACACTAACGCTATTTTCCAAAATAAATTCTTAATAGGTCGATTTGAAAGATTCCCAGACGAACCGCTAAGGCTTCTTTAAACCTATCCCTTAGATTGCAGAGTCTTATTGTATATATTCAATGTCATTTTACTGCATCTTGTCTATAATATGATAATGTAAATCACATTCACCAACTTTATACCAAAGTCGAGTAAACCATTTGGCTGTAAATTCCTATGACTGTGAAGGATATCTGAACAAACATCACTATCAAAATTTCCTGTTATAAAAGAAACGAAGAAACAATAACCCCATCTATCCCTGAAAATCCACAACCTCTCTTATTTTGACGTTGTCAGGTGGCGGCGAGTGGCGGATTTAGAGGGGGGAGTCAAAGGAGTCCTGACCCCCCTCCCCTTCGGTTTCAAAAATATATCACACCAATATTCCCCTCTTGATATTAGAATTTTGAATACTGTAGCTTAAACATAGTTCTAAACCGTACCAAAGGGCACTGTTTGCTCTCCAAAACACCAAAAAAAATTTAGGAGCCCTAAAGCAGGCCCCGAACCCCACGCCAAAGGGGGTGATGGTCGGCTTCGCATCCGAGGCCTGTCGCTCCGACCCCCCCCTCCCTCCTTCAAATAATCCTGGATCCGCCCCTGGCGGCGGTGAGCGGCGGAGTTGTCGACTTTCTACTTTTAGCTTCAATAGCCCTGTAATTGAATGCAGAGTGGCAGGAGACCCGCCATTAGTCAATCTAATGAAGCCTCCTCTTTGCTACAATGGATGCTTCACATGACCGAATAAAAAACTGCTCGTGAAAATTTGTATTTATATTGATGAACTCATGTAACCGCAGTGATGCTTTTTAAAAGCCCGGTGTCCTTGCCTAAAGAAGTTTGCATCTATTTTAAGAGAATCATCGCAATTTGCCAGTTGAAAAAGTGTAAGTGCACATCTTACAGATGATTCTGCAGCATGTTGTTCTAGTTTTGCAGAATGAAGGTTTATGTGAATTTCATATTAGTCGGAGTTGGTTAGATATGCTGTTATGGATAATGTTGCCATTACCGTTTTCCGTTTTTTGATTTTTGTAGCAGGTTTTTCTTTTTCATAGTAGTGGTACGTTGTAGTAGTCAGATTATACTGTCCTAAACAAACCAATTGCGGGACCAAGTCTAAGTCTTTTTTTTACTCCTCTCATAATTTCATAAATGAGGTGAAGAAAATTCTCACAAAAAAAACCTCTCAAAATGAACAATAATGAAGGCAAAATTAGGATGCTCGACAGACAAAAGTCTCGATAGTCAATTTACCTATTTAAAAAATAATGGTGTGTTCAATAATGCCGAGCGTGTCTCACTAATTGGGCGCGCGCGCGTGCCTTACTCTGACTAACTTGTCCTCAGAATCCTCGCAAGAATACGTAATCTTGCCCAACAGTGCCCATGTGTGCTATAGTGGATTTTACAAATGACAAACAATGGATAAACACACACGAACGCTTGGTACCACACCGTTTTAAATGTAACTTTTGTCTTAATTTAAGGTGACATTTGGCGTGATGCATACTCATTTCTTCCCCTCAATTATGAAGCATTTTCCTCTCATCTTCAAACACTTCATTTTCAACAAAGGTTAGAATAACGCACAGTGGGTGCATTATTAACGCACAGTCACTCTCTCCGCCCTGTGCATTAACGCTCATTGTTAATTAATTCTATGTACCAATCGGTAGACGACTCACAGTGGTGCTATGGCCCTGAGCGGACTGTTCCATGCAAGGTGTCTTTAGATTGGATGATTTCTTCACGTACGTAACGGCAGAAGCAAGGATAAAGTTCGATCACATGAAAATTTCGTTACATTCATCTGATTTACTGCTAGTGGTTTAACCTCTTGCGCCACTATAATTCTATACTTAACTCAAGCAATACTGCATCAACGGTTTTTAAAAAAGAATTATAAGGTAAATATTTTTTCACCCGATGCCCAAAACTTACGACTATTCATGGCAGATGAGCAACGCGTTCCAGGTTTAGATAGCGAAAAGAAAAAGTGTGACGATTTTGCTGGACTGTATTCTTTAGATTCAACTGCAAGTTCCGCAACAGGAAGAAGCATGGCTGATCCTTTAGGTAAGTACTAAATGATTTTGATATTTATTTCTTGTCAATAGTTGATCGCTTGCTCAAAAAAATAAATAAATCAAGAGGATTAAAGTATCACTGACACATTTCTTACGCGTGCCATAGTAATCTACACACTGGATTCTTTAATGCGTTTATTTGATCGAATGAGATTACCAAAGCAAATCTAACTAGGGTAAGTTAAATGACCCGTGAGTTGATTTAGCTCAAATTGTAGCAGATTTCTGAGAGGGCTAAGAAGTCATTGCGTGTCACATTTCTAACTTTGATAAGCCCGATCTTACATATCGTGCTGAGATTATAAACAATAACACGGCGGGATAACTGGAATAATAAGGTGTTAGGCGTCATTCAGAGCATAATGAACATAAGGTGTTCCTGCAGGTAAAATACCCTCCTGAGGTGACGACGAAATGTTTTATCTTCATTAAACCATTTGGATATTCAGTATCTTTTAGGTGAATAACAAAGACGGTTCGTACAAGTTTTAAGAAACGTACAAGTCTTGTATATTTTTTCTCTAAAATAAATCTCCTATCCATCGGAAAGGTGAAAATTAATGCTACACTATATTTGGCATTTTCTTTACACCTAAACGCATTGGGTCCAGTAAAAAAGACAGATTTTAATAAATATCATTGTTGAAGTTAAACTGTCTCTGCTGATGCAGGCCCACTTGAGAGCTGTGCTAACCCACTACCTCGGTCAGGTATAAGTGGTTTCATCTATCATAATATTTTGTAAAAAAAATATGAAAATAAATGGTATTAAATAAGCAAACAAATGGATAAAGAAACTGATACCGCCTGGAATTTCATTGAGCCTGGAAATATCCTCTAAAATAGTGCGAAAACAAGATGCTGATTGAGTCACCCTATTTTTTATTAAAGACAGAATTAACAATTTATTAATTTAACCCGATTTAAATGATTATCTGGCATTTTAAGTGATCTCTTTACTGAAAATAACTAGTTATAAAAACATTAATGCTTAATTCTTTCTACTATGTATAAAGAGTTTTTCCAAACTTGTGTTGCATTCCCTTTTATATGGATAAATTGTGATCGTTTATTTGAAAACTTAAGTTATGATGTTATGAATCACAATTCATTTTAGAAGTAACTCTAAAACAGATATTAGGGATATATCATTTAACACAAAAAAAAAAAAAAAAAAAAAAAAAGATAAAAAATAGAATTAAATTTAAAAACATAGAAAACTCTAATCTCCCCACAAATATATATAAAAACATAAACAAATATAATGGAGACGTTGGATTGTTAACGATTGTATTTAGTTCAAATGGCATTTATTTGTCAACTTCATTTTTCTTCATGAGTTTACCACAATATTTACCCCCATTCGCCCTTAAAAAATAGGGTATGAAGGAAGCTTTTACTGGCTCGAGGTGATTTTAATTCTAGGAAGTAACAGTGACATCGGGAAAATGTTGATTTGGATAAACTGTCTTTAACAAATAAAGAAAGTGAATTTTACATTGAGCATTGAGTAAAAAGAATAGAATTCGTTATAAAAAAATCGGTTTTTAATGGAGTGTTTCACGCTGATAATTTGACTCCCTTGCCTTTGATTTTAATACACAATTTGACTTGACAACCGGTATACTGAAATTAAGTAAAATTACAAACGATTTGGAATGAAATACTAGGCTGAAAATAAATAAACAAATAAATAAGCAAATAAATCATACATTACAGAAGGCGCTTTCAAGAAGTTGAAATCGGACGGCAACGGAACGGCGGGTTCCATCTCAAGCAGCACGACCGCCCCCGGGCACAACCCTGCAGCCTGCCCCACCCCGGCCCGGCGGCGGCACAGGACGACGTTCACCCAAGAACAACTCCAAGAACTGGAGGCGGCGTTTGCCAAGAGCCACTATCCTGATATCTACTGCAGGGAAGAGCTGGCAAGAATAACAAAACTGAACGAAGCTAGAATACAGGTATTTCAATATATGGCGCTTTTATGAAAATGATTAGAAATTTTCTTAATGGGTCTCATACGGGGTTTAGCACAAAACAAAAATTATCAGAATTTAACAAATATTTCAGAAGTCATTGACTGTTATTCTAACGAGTTCCAAAGTAATAAAAAAATTGATGTATTTTAAGGCCTCATGTAATCTTCGCTTGCCTGGAACAAAATAAACGTTTAAACGCATTTCTTCCATTTCGCTTCTCGTAAGAGAAAACATGAAAATTTAAGACAATGAAAGACACATATATTGTTCATTAGGCTTTGATTTTAGTAACATTTTGTCAATTCAAATATTTTTATTTCTCAAAAGAATCAATTGCATTTCTCCAGATTGTTTACGTGCTTGTGTCATGCCAATAAAATGACTGAAAATGGAAAAAGGCGTCACCAATGAAATAATTCAGTTACAAATCTAGTTTTAAAAACAGTTTCTACAAAAGCAAAATAGTTCAGCGTTTTACAAGTTTTTGTTTCCGTACCTGCGTTTGCTTATTTCATGAAGGAGTTTCATTTTACAATTATTCATAATATATATGCATCTAATGCATATATTAGTATTTTACTGACTTAAATCTTCTAATTTGATTTTCAAAGCCAAAATTAGATGTTTTGTGCTTCTATAGAACTGGCTAATGTATCATTCATTTTTTTAAATCGAAAAAATGCGATTTCAGATAATTGGTGATTTACAATGAAAGAAATAAGATCTCACGCACATATGTGTACAGATGATAATGTCTCCATTGCCAGTTTTCTGTATTAGATTTGGGAAAAGTGGTAAAGAATAACACCACGTTGTTCGAATTCTCAAGGTACATCTTGTGCATTAAATCCAAAAGAAATGGCTCGTGAGTTGTTAAACCCGGAGGATTTAAAAATTAATGCTCCGCGTCGGTAAGAACGCGCCGGTTAAGATTTAATTAGTTACCATGTCCTTGAGATCTTTGTGTAAGTGCCAAGTGTTAAAGGAGATAATGAAGACATGCCACTGCCGAACAACACTTACTTTAATATCGGACCACGTATTAAATACAGGGGCGTAACCAGACCATTTCAAATTGTACGCACAGATTTTGAAAATTCCCAGGTACGATTATATTCCTTGAAAAATACACTGAATTTATGGAGAATAATATCATGGTTGGCTCAAAAAATTGTACGCACAGTGCATCCGTGCGTATGCCTGGTTACGCCCCTGAAATACTTTTGCCGCTCAAGTTTACTATGTCTTTTTTTATTGTCGCTTCCAATTACTTTGATCTTTGTGATTACGCCAAAAAGTTTTTTGATATGCTTTGGAAAATTTTATTTCGTCCTTGACTTTCCATTTTAATGCACTCTCGCGTTGAGTACATTAATAAGAATGAAACATGCAAACAATTTGATTACTGTTTTAAATTTAAAACTTATAGAATATTTACAAACTTTGTTGACATTGCCTTTTTATACTTAACTAGGCAATTTCAGTGTTTTCAATTACTCAGCCAAAGGTTCCGTTGACCTGGTCACTTTTCCTTGATAACATGGAAACCTATAAATTTGTGATTTCTATTGCCGANAATTGATTTAAAGCATAAAATAAAGATAATTATACTATATACATACTTCATATAAAAATTGAACGCAATGTTGATTTGATTATCCCCACGCTCCAATTTATTCTTAGCTATGCGGACAAAAGAGGCGCCGTGCTGGGTTTTTTCACAATTCTTGTCCGCCTGGCGAGCGGTAAGGAATACGGTAGCAGGTGTTATACATGAATTTGCCTTCGTATGGTAATACAGCCTTGCATCGGTGATAATTGAACACTTGAATCATGTCCCAAATGAAGGAGAAATGTCAATTGAAACACTAATCAAATTACCAGAATTTCCATATTTAACTAATACCTCAGCGAGTCGAGAAGCTCTTCGGATTGGCTAAACTAAACTTGAGGCACAGCGTGGAGGCGAGTCTGTTCCCTTTCATCAGAGCTAGGGAGTTATTTTAGCCATTTGCTTTTATGTTTATGTTCCATTTATCTATCTAATGCTTGTTTATTTTTTTCTATCTACTTTTTCATTTGCCCTGAACAGAAATATTTGAAATGTTTTTTTTTGTCTTGCTTCAAGGATTCAGTATTAGAAATGTGTATCCTATTGAATACAAAAAGTGGCAAATAATTCTGAATGTAGAAATGCAGTTAATTGGGTAAAAAAATGACATATCACCTCAATGCCAGATAACAGACAAGGAAGACTACACATCCGCTTAAAAGTCAATTAGTTCGACATTCAGAGAGACACGGAAAAAATCTGAGGAAAGCAAAAAGATTGAAATCCAAATCCTTCTCCTCACACTGAACTAATTTTAACTTAGTAAGAGATACGTACGACAATTCAATTTTTCAAATCAAGAGAAATTTACGTTCTTTGCCACGTATCATCCAGTCCGAAAATGTAATTTATGCGGATCACTTCTTCTATACTCTGGTAAATTTATTAGATTTTCTGAAGTTGTACCTTGTCCTTTCGTTTCCATTCTTACAAGCATTCCATTAACCCTCCCCGAGGGTGAAGACTTGTATTCCTCAACAAGTTAACAATGAAGTAAACTAAATTACAGCAGTGTAGATGGCAACGTTTCAATCCCCCAGGTAAGATTACATACAATAGCATTAGATATCAATTGTTTGTGGATGGTACTTGTACAAATCTCGACCATTTTCGGCTCTGCCTCGATTTCTTCACCCACTGCCATGGATCTCCACTTGATGATCTCGAGTCCAGCGGATTAGAGGATTTAAGAAGAATTTACCTGCAAGCAGTAGTTTTATTGATATCTGCCAATTATCTACTTATTGTAGAGATCAAGCAAAAGTGGACATGTTTTGATGACTTAAGTACAGTGATATTTCAGATGGTTCTGTTGCCGGTACAAGATATCAATAACCATGATAAGCGTACGTCGAATAATAAGTTTCGTCGAAAAAAATTCAGTTACCACCGATAAAACAAAATGGAACAACAGTTGACTTTGATGCCAATGATGTTTCCCCTAATCGCATGGACCAGAGAGTGTAAATTTTATTTGCTTGAAATCCATGCCCATTGATGTATATCCTGAACTTAGTTCTGGTTCGCATCAGTTAAGAATTATAAAAAATTGAAGACAAGCTTGGTGACTGCACTTATCACCATCAGAGTATAGAAAAAACAAAACCGATGACGTAAGGAGGTTCATCTCATCCAACAAGGGACGTGTAAGAACAACCTATATTAAAGTTGCAAAAGATGCGCTGTTCACCATGAAACAACAACAACAATGATAATAGTGATAGAATGATAAAAAGTCAGATAGGAAAACGAAAGAAAGCTTCTTAATGTATTATGCAATGGATCTAACAGTTATAAGTTCGTATTTTGTAAATAAATCGTAACACATAATGCGTAGCATTCTTCACTTTTAATATTCTAAAATTTGAGTTGAGTTGAGTGTAATCATAGTTTATCCCTAGCGATAGTCGATCTGCCAAATATATGACATACTGTATATTATGCCGATATCGCTGAATATGTAAGTGCAAGGAATAAAGTTCCAATCTAATTTTGGTTAAAGGTACACTGAACCCATTTGAAATCTCAAAGTCATATTTTCTATGTCTACGAGACATGTCCTTCAGAGCGTCCAAGCTTTTCCAATTCAGACAGAAAAATCTATAAAACCCCTCAAATAAGAGTAACTGTCGTCGATGGTTCCTTCTGAAATGTACAGGAAGACACTGTGTTTTAAATGACTCACCAGTCATTTAGAATTAAACCAGTGTGTTAAAAATGGAATTCAAGCGCAGGGGCGGGTCGACCAAAGACTCGTGAGAAGTAAAAAGTAGTTTTTTCCCGACGAAATCCCGTGTACAGTATCTTTAATTTTTAAAAGAAAATCACAGAAATCGTATTTAAAGTTAATACGCTTAATATGTGCTCGTTCACCCAACGTCAGAATTGTGCATTCCATGCAAATACATATAAATGAAGAAAGCAATAAAGATATCGTCGTATCATGATATGCGTGCGCACCTATTGTAGATAGAGTATCAAAGCATCACATTAAATGCAAATACTGTTAAAAATGTAGCGAAAACAGGTGACAGGAATTTACACAGTATAATATAGGCCTACATATTGTTGTACATAGATTTAACGGAAATAGACAATTTTATGTATTTTAAACCTTAATAGCGTATTTGTGTTTCAAATGCACTCTTTTTTTTTGGCCCGGGTGTGATTTGTTTAATATTTTATTTTGTTACTTTACAATTATACTTTTGAATGTATGAATAAATAAATATAAATTTCCATATTTAAATAATGTCTCAGCTAGTCGAGAAGCTCTTGGGATTGGCTAAACTAAACTTGAGGCACAGCGTGGAGACAAGTCTGAACTATAGAGGTTTTTTTAGCCATTTACTGTCAAATTTTTGTTTATTATTTTTTTATCTGTACATCCATTTGCCCTGTAATAAATAAATAAATAAATAAATAAATAAATAAATAAATATCATTACAGAAAGTAATAATTAATAGTATTGTGTGTTTGAATATTACATCGTTGTCCAGCTAACATCACATTCTTGTCATGTACAGGCCTGTTTTGAAAGGAAAATTGATAGGACAATTCATTTATTATATTAGTTTTTAGGAACAGTAAAAAATGCCTCTTGTTCGTAAGTTAGATTTATATAAAATAGGAGAAGAGATTTTTGTAAAAGTGACATTTAAGGTAATTACATGTAAAAGGAGCGAGAGGGAGGTTCCTCCTATCTGAGTCTGTGAAAAATCCATCACTTAATGCGTTTCTCAAATTTCCAGGTGTGGTTTCAGAACCGTCGCGCAAAATACCGCAAACAAGAGAAGCAGCTGGCCAAGTCTCTGTCTCCAGTCATCCCGACCTGTAACTCTATGATGCGTAACATCTACCCGACAACGTCGCGGGGTTACCCCTATCCCACGCACACCAACATGAACAGTATGAGCGCTATGAACCGCTACCCACAGATGCCAGGGTCGTCGTACCCGTCCATGGCCCAGTTCTCCAGCATGCCTGGCCCCCCGGGAAATATCTCCAGTATTTCTAATATACCCAACATCTCCAACATCACACCTGGGATGCAGAGGCAGCAGCTCTCCATGGCAACGGATTACAATCTGGTAAGGATCTTCTATCCTCCCTCGCTTCCTGTGAAATACATGTTCGAAAGGTTGTAATTTTGTCCAGGTATAAGTTTATTTTGCCGGGACTGTGTATATTCACAAATATATGGCAAAGTTAACAATTCAAGCAATGTATTTTACCTAGACTTAATCAGATAAGTATCTAATTGATACAACTATCGACCCCAAATGGTGACAGATGATTAAATAAATAGATACGATATGAAATATCATAATGAAAACATTTTCTGATGTTATAGTATTTAATAAATTTGATAAAAAAAGCTTGTGAGGGACGAAATGGCTTTACAATTTCCACCAGCAGTTCAGCTGGATGTATCAGGCTTGCCATATAAATAACTTTGAGTGTGCAGTGGATTTTAATCTTCAGTGTGAGCGTAAAACGTTTTCATTACGTGATTATCTGGTTGTTGAAGGGATAATAACTGTTCGTATGAGATCTATATTTCACAATAAAAACATTTGAACAACTCATAGAAAAATGATATACCACAAAAACGGCAGTTATAGCTATTATTCTGATATCTGAGCTTGATATAGAACAAGTGACCTCCATTGATGGCTATACTCTGTTATAATCTCTTAAGAGATTATAACAAAAAAAAAAAAAAAAAAAAAAAAAAAAAAAACTTTAAAATAAAACCAGGGACTAACTTTGAATGTAAAAATGGATTCATTAACCATTGGTAAGTATGGGAAAATTGTTGTTTACTCCAGGAAAATTCATTTTTTGTCCAAAGCGAAGAGTTATTATCCCTTTAAATTAAAAACTAGAAAAGCACTCCGAGAGCGCAGATCTCCGCCAAGGCAGCAAAGTCTCCACCCAATGCCGTTTCACCCCTAAATTTTCATTACCTCCGCCAAGAAGGTTATGTTTTCTTCTATAATGATTTACTTTTTTTATTTTTTATTTTTGATTATTGATTGATTATTGAGCTAATCATCTGTTCCTTGGCCCACTTCTGACAGTTCCTGAAAATTTTATCAAAATCGGTCCATAACTTTTTGAGTTATGTTGATGACAGGCAAACAAACAAACAAACAAACAAACAAACAGTAATGAAGTAATGAGGTAATGAAGTGCACAAAAATAATTTTGAATAAATCAGCATGTCAAATTCTCAGTTTGAATTTGTCTCAAAATATTTCGATTTGGGACAGAGCTTGAGCCCATTTTTTAAAACCTGATCTTTGTTTTAGTATATGATTGCATTTTGATTACTTGAATTTTTTTTTGGTTTATAGTTACATTTTTCAGAAAATACAAAAAATTGATTTGTTAGACTGAAGTTCCAAGATACATTTACCCTTGCCAGGCATAAACATAAAGCCTAATAATAACTTATAATTGCTTCGCGAATGGAGCAATCCATCCATGAAAAAAAAATCAACATATTTGCCCGAGAAAAACGTTTATCAGCTAATTTATTCTTCGTTTCAGGAGCTACACGAGGACGACTGGTATAACAAGAGTCTGACTGCACTGCGCATGAACAACCCCCACCCCTCTCTAGCTAACACACTGCAGTACCAAACGTAATTCGACATTAGGGAAACTATTTCAAAAGCTGCAGTTCAGCTTCACATGAATTTCACTTATTTTGAAATAAATTAAATTGTGCTTCCAGTAACCCGAAAATGTTGATGATTTTATGTGCAATAGAACACTTTATACATAAGACCGGCCATTCAACAAAGCGTTGATAGAAATACGTGTCTCAGTACATGTATGGGAATATAGTTCTCCTATAGATATCAGTGCCAATTTTAGAGCTGTTTTCTTTATGGACAAAAATGACTCCGCTCAGTTGTTTGTTGTGCAGTTTGCATCATACATAATTCATATATGTATTCTAAAAAAGTAAAACTTTGCACGATTTATATCACATCAATAATGTCATACTCTGATTATTTGTGTGACATAGACATAATGTATTTACATAGACTAATAATGCACTCATATTCCAAAGCATGATTATGGATATTCTTATTGGATATTTTGCAAATCTATTTGTAGAGCACATGCTTTATGTGTTTTTATTTATTCGATATCCCAAGATGATGTTATTTATTGTTTATGTTTAAAAAGGTGCAATAAAATTAATTCAGTCTTTTTTATTAACAACAGTCTTAAATGTTATTATTGTTATGTGAAAATTCAGTGACATGGCCCATTTATTTTTCAGTGAGCCTATAGATTGACAGGTTATTATAAATTACAACTGTAAATAAACTTTAAACGCAATCAAACAAACAAAACTATAAGCACTTTTCACTCAAGGTAGTGGTTCTTACCAGTCAAGATGGACAAACAGTAATGCACATTTACTACAAACACTGCCAAATACGGGACAAACATCACGCGTAGGCTTACTGTTCCCAATTTTTTCTAGCGAAGTGAAATCTAACGCAGGGTGTACCTTGTGGGTAGATTTCATCATTGCGCAGAACCACCAAATATTATCACTGTTTGAACTACACTGCATATACATATCAATCCATCTGAAGAAATTCTGGTCCAGCGACCCTTCTCTGCTGCCAGGTCGTGTGACAATAATTCTGCAGGACTACCACCTTCCTTTCTGTTTCACCAGCCCAGAATACCATTCCCTTGATTCATGGCCAATGATGAATACTTCAGTTTCAAAATATAAATTTTTCTGAAGCATAATTATAGGGGGGGGTCCTTAGATAACCTTTTTCCCCAAAACCATGTCAAAACCACCTAAAAAGATGCTTATACATCTTAAAAACAAACTACAAAAAACCAAATTAGTCTATCTCTATTATCAGAGCTGCTACTTGGGTTTTAGTATTTTGGAGAAAAATCGCTAAAAATACTTAAACTCTGTATTTTGTAAAATATGATGGTTTTTCATATCAATGTTTATGCTTACATTTTAACACAAATTTCATTGTGACTAACAATTCTGACATAAAGACGGACTAAATATATAGGAAAACTAAACTGAATGTTCTAACCCCTAGATAATGATTCATAATAAAATGACAGGAATTCAATAAGAATTCAATTCACTAAAAATTCAATGCTTTTTGGACTCTTAAGTCAGTTAGCGTTATGGTGGATATTTAGTTCTTTTCCCAACAACTTTTTCAAGTTCATTCCAAACTGTTCTGGAGTTAACATCCTTCTCTTCCCATCAGTATTGAATATCCTGAAGACAGGACTACATTTTGGCAGTGATATGGATGTGTCTCTAGCGTATGAGACCCCCCCCCCATGAAATTTTGACTCATCCTACAGAACTTTATCAATCTTATTTTATTTGAGCATATGACTTTTATCTTGTAGTATGCATGATAGAGGATACATTGGCACTTTTTGCTAGTTTGCAGGTGAAAGTTTTCATGAGAATAGATGAAAATTAAAAATGTGTACTCTACCAAACAATGAATCCCCTATGGAAAAGCTGTTTATTTGAAATTTGGTGATATTTGATATTTTCCCAATTTTTTTACCAACAAACTTTCAAATACTAACAAAATATATGTCACAATGCAAACTATGTGGAAAATAATGGTATGGTGAATAAATATAAAATGGGACTTTTTCTTCATGGGAATCCAAATACCACAGAAAATGGAGATTTTTCAAGATTTTTTTTTTCATTTTTTTCACCCAATATTTTACAATCATACTTTCTAATATTTCCAATATATTCTTAATAAAGTATACTTAAAGGAAAGATGATGAAATGATCATTAAATATCAAAAAAATAGCTTTTTCATAGGGGAGTCTTTGGGTTGTACAGGTCATATACTCAAATAAGTTTTATAAAGGTTTGTAGGGGGGAGTCAAAATTTCATGGGGGGAGTCAGATTTTCATTATGAAATTTTGACTGGGGAAGTCAGATTTTCATGTTACACTGGTGTTCAGTAGAAACAGTTTTCGTTAATTTGCTAGTTTCTTTCAGCACAGTCCCTCAAGCCACAGCCTCTAGTTTTGGTTTCTTCCTCAATCTTTGATCGGTGTCACCTCACTGCCGTTCCATTTGAAGGTTGTGGACAGGATCTCATCTATGTTTTCACACTGATCAAACACAGGATATTTAACTGGATATTCAATAATTCCATAGTATTTTCTGCATTGCATAGCCAGAACCTTTGCCATTTCTGGTAATATCTTCTTTGTCAAAGCTATGCACTCATTCAGATGTGCACTAGCACATCGTTTCACACTCTCAACTACATGTCCTCAGTAGGCCATAGTTATCTTTCACTTCCTGGAATAATTCTTGGTTGAAACAGGAAAACTCAGGAGCATCTAGCTGAAAGAAATTCTCATTTACCTCATTTCTACTCAGCTCTAGATGTAATGATTGAAACTTTTCTTTCAGTTTGCTGTGTGTTGCACCCCTGGATATTGTTATGGCATGAAACTAATTGAATGCTACAACAGCAGCAACTATTCTAATATATCCCAATGCCAGAACACCTCTTACAAGACAAGCTAGATGCCATCATTGTCTAGCTAGTTATTCAGTAATACAGTATAGATACCCTAAAAAGATAATGAAATCATGAGAAATCTAAAAGGAAAAATGCCATCAAAACTATTAATGATGAATTACCATGTTAATGAAATTGATATAAGGTGTCAATGCCACCATGATTTTGAATATTTCACTACCTTTTTACACAAATTCCCTAAAAACCAAATAAGAAACCCATCTATTTGGTTTTGGTGAGTCTGAAATAACTTGTCAGGCCTATATAACTTTCATTCATGTTGTAGGAAGACAGTCCCAAAACAGTAGAAAATAGTGCTAAAATGCTAAAAATCGCGTAATCATAAAATGCAAGTAGCAGCTGGGTTAACAATGATCTTTCAAAAAGAACATTTGAAATATTGTTTTTAGGTGTGTAAGGAACTTTTTAGCTGGTTTTGACATATTTTTGGAATTATGGACCCCCCCTAATAATTAAGCTCAAAAACATTTTTGTTGAGATGCGGTCATTCAATTTTTACTTGCGGACTGTTGGCACGTGTTTTTGTTCGTTCCATTTGCAATCAACCTGAGAGTGCTGCATTTTAGCATTTACTTTTTAACTGAAATAAACTTTTTAAAAATCAGAAATAAAAAATTTGTATCATTAAATGGATACAAAAATAAATAAATAAACGTTAAATTTTCTTTCCCACAAACTGTGATGAAATTAGTCATGGCATAGTTTTACAGGTGGTCTTAGGATAATGGCGACGCTGGGCTAATCAATTTGAGGGATGACACATTCGAAACTACTATCTAATACTTTATTTTCAGTTGTCAATTGGAAGCAAGGCACAGAATGAGAAGACAAACAAACTATGGAGAATCTACATTCTACAAACATCACAAACACCTTAGCATCTAAAGAAAACGCGCATAAATAACTATATGCAAAACAGTCAACTGGAAATAGCTCTTGCAGACATCACTCATGTTTACGTAAAATAACTACAACTATATATATATATGTTTCTAGTTTTATACTGGAAAATGTCGAGAAATAATTTGATAAAAGTAAAGAGATTCATTATTTGCATAGTGTAAAATCTTAGCACCTTTCGGTAAAGCACCTTGAAATTTAGGTGGATTGTTTGACTGGTAGAAATTTTCATATATTCTTCATTATCAAAAATGGTTCATACCATACAGCACAAAAAGTCAACTGTCGATGTATCATTTCCACCAAAATTCCAATTAAATTTATAAATATGTACTGAAATCTATGTCACATATTTAAGTCAAATTCAGCTGTAATCTACTGTTCAAGGATGAGGTGGCTGCTGCTGTTGTTGCATATGCTGTTGCTGCTGTTGTTGATGTTGGTCCATTTGTTGTTGTTGGTGTATCCTTGCATTTTCCTGGTTTCTCTTCTGCGCTGTGACAAACTCAGTGTAATCAATGTAGCCGTCATTGCTGGAATCGTCCTCCCTGAGAATTGTCTCCACCATATTGCTGATCTCCTCATCTGCTAAAGCCTTCTGCACATTATTTGGATCATTTTCTGCAAAGAAAACAAAGTAAACTTTCTGATGATGAAGGCATAATTTGAATATTTATTTCAAAAAATATATTTTTCTTCTCAAAAAATGTAGACTTTAAGTAAATACTGATGTTTGCGATCATGGGTAAAGAGCGTGAATAGCTGAATGTTTTGATAATAACTTTTACATCATTTAATATAACAAACATGTTACAAGCATCTGAGAAAACTAAATCCTTTTCAGAATTTCTCAGTCCTGTGTATCTCCAAATTCATCATTTCAAACTACATCTAGTTGGGTTAAGGTTCCGTGGACAGATAAACATGGATAAAGGACAAATTATAACTACTTACCATGATGAAAATGAGTCATAGCTTTGCTCAACTCTAGACCATCCAATTTGTTGTTGTGATCATAATCGTGCATTTTGAAATAATAAAACTGAATTTCCTGCTCGCTCATTTTGCTGAAGTCTACATTAGCTTTGCCATCCAAGTGTTCTTTCAGATGCCTGAATAGGAAAAGAGAAGAAATACAATGAATCTACACAAAAAAAGTTCTTTAAAGTAACATAATGAGAAATGAAATCTAGTATTGGATCACGATGTTGAAACGGAGATCACTATGTTTCGATCTCTCCTTCAACGTAAGATCCAGTAGAATTGATTTAATTTCTCATTATCTTAGTATAATATAGCTGGATGAATCAAAACATTCACTTTTATCTTTAAAGGGTTCAGTCTTTACCTTTGTCTTCAAATGTTTTCTACTCAACAACAATGCTGCAAATGTTAATCTAATGCTTCATTGCTTTGAAACATTTTTTATAAATCATATGCACAATAACAATCTTTTGTGTATATACTCCATATATACTCTATATTCTATATTTACACTGTGGTAAATAACCATACAAAAAAGTCACAATCTCTGACACTAGACATCCCTGAGGAAGGCAATAACAAGCAGACTTTCATACCAATTCATACTTACTCAGCATCATTTACGTGATGTGCATCATGCATTCTGACATTCTGGCCACCTCCCTGAGGCTGCTGATGATGTTCACCATGACCATATACAGTCCCCACTAGTAATAACCCTGCTGATAGTAATAGCCACTTCATTCTGAATAGACTTGAGAGAACTCTGAAATCCATTAACATATCAGGTTAATGTTATTCCTTGTTTAAGCATAAGTACAGGTAATATTTACAAATGGCTTTACAAAAAGTCCAAAATGCATTCTTTTCTTGACATGAAATCAAAGATATGTGACTAAAGTACAGTTAGTGAACATTATCAAAATATACTACTAACTTTATTCATAGACACCAAATATGAGTTTTATGGAAAATATTTTTAAAAACCCATCACATATTTTAATCAAGTAACTATGCTTTCAGTAAATCTGGATGCCAAATTGAGAGGCTTAAACTAAAATCTCCAATAATATCTCACAGTACATAGAAAAAAGGTAAAATTATAAATGAATCATTTGACATTTTGGAAAACTGTGAAATGGAACAATACCCCCCCTCCCCACAAATTTGAAACAATATTATACACTTATAATTTAAAAAGTACATGTATAATTCATGCAAGCTGTAAAACAGGTAGCAGAGGAAAGAATAAAGAAAGCATGAAACAGAAGCAGAATTTTTTCAGTCGCACCTCTCTTTCTCCAACAACCATTTTTGATATTTAAAGCGACAAACCCATTGGCAATCGCGAGCCGCCCTTACAACATTATTTTGTACATTCAAACTTTAGTGCACAGATGTTCACATCACCAGCGCAATAATTAGCAAAATAAAGTTTTTAATGCAGACCAACACAGAGCAGTATGCGTAGTTTAGTACACTACTAGAAGCCCCAATTAACATGGGATGTGTACGTACGATTAAAATTACGTGTAAAAAAAATCTTACCTGTCTGTATTTACCTGGTCAACGTGTCACTGCAGCAGCCGATTTCGATTTCATATCGAGGCTGAACATACTCTTTAAGAGATTTTGTAATTTTGCAAATCTTCCTTTGCATCAAATTAAGTTACTAGTACAACTATAGTAATATATAAGAAATATCATTGTTAAATACTTATTCCAATGCATTAAATGGATATTATTTTAATTGCATTTCAGATAGTAATTGGTGTTTGAGACTAAAACATACTCTTTCCGTGGAAAAGGAAGGAAAATGCGACTCTTGATAACAGGTTGCTAAATGGTTTGTGTGCAACTTGCTGCTCAACATTATGGACAAGGAGCAAGCACCTTTGAGCAGCTTTTAAAAGTTACTGGGCCCCTGCTACATGACTTTCTATTAAGATTGGATATGGAACTAGATGACGATGATTTCGATGTTGACTTAAGCGTAAGTCGTGGAAATAGTTATCACTTGAATTTTCGATTTTTTAGGCGTCTGCTACAATGTAGTACATTGTAAATAACCTGTATATCCTACATAGCTACAATGTTCTTCATCTTGTGGGGCCAGTGGATTGCCATTTCAAGTGTTTTCATCAATGAAATGCATGCTGTAATTACATGGAAAAATCTGCATTGAATTCTCATCTTTTATTAATTGAAAGTTACTACATGCACAAACAGTTTTAATCCAAATATTTTTGTCTTGCATTTTGCCTTTTGGATATGAAAGTTATTGTTACCTTTCGTTCAAGTCGTAATTGTGCTTAGTGCAATTATTAATTACAAATACCTTTAGAAAAATAAATACATTGCTCCTTTTTGCAATAATACAGCAGCATGCCAAGTGATGTTGACGCTCTACACCTTGACTCAACAGTCTGAACAGTCATCTTCAGGTTGTGAGTGACATGAGTAAATATTTTTAGAAGTGTAGACACATGATATATCCAAGTTAGTCTATCTGTTTGAATGGAAGGATAAAATAAAAATGACATTTTTCTATAATTTTGTAGATTGCTGTGATATCATATTTGGTATCTAAAGATAGAAGTGAGAGTGATTTTACACCATGGATGGAAGAAGCAAAAGAACAAATTTATAATGCAGGTAATAATTGTAAGACAAAAGGAGTTAAATATGCTGGTATATGTTGTGGTACATGCTGAGAGCTCAAACTCTAAAGGATACTGCTGACTTAGTGACACCTTATCATACTAGTCTCGTTTGAAATGCTTGAGACTTGATAGGTATACTGTACAATTGTGTTTATCCTTAAAGGCTGTACATCCAATATAAACAGCATTGTAACATTGGGTTCATATCTATCTGAACTATAACAGAGCATGTCTAACTGATATCAACCAGTGAGTGTAATTTCATACCCTAAGATGCAATCATGAATGATATGTTAATATGTTTGTCAGTGATTTCAGTTATACACTTTTGGTTAAAGTTATCAAAATGATGTACGTGTTGATAAAGAAAAGGCAAAAAACTGAAAGCTTCCTTATTTTAGTTAAGAAATTTTCTGAGAAATAATTGATTTTGATATTTAATGACTCATCGTTTATATCAGCATAAGTTCATCATTAATGTAAAACTTTTATTTAGAAACTGTTCATTCAGATTATTTACGTAAATTAACTTACACACTTTGGCAGGTTAGTAAGAATGGTTCTAAAATTTAATGTGCTCTCTCCCTTTATGAACATTCACTTTATCTCATGATTGTGTGGTTTGTGTTATTTTAGGTTTAAAGAAAGATTTTTCGCATAGTGCACCTGTTGTGCCTGGTCTGCTGAGACTGTTAAAAGACTGTCTGCTGACTCACAGATGGGAAGATGCACTACGGGTTGTACAAAGTGTAACCAAGGAGCACTCTGGTACTGCATCAGCTATATGGAAGGTGAGTTGGTCGCTAGGACAGAACTGATTTAAACTGAATTTTAGGTATTCAGACCACCCACCAGTATCATTTCTGAGATCAGAGGACTTATTGTTCATCTCTGAATACTAATATAATATAATATAATATAATATAATATAATATAATATAATATAATATAATATAATATAATATCATATAATATAATATAATATAATATATATGAATAGTGGATTTACTGGTTGGCTTTGATATTTTCTGAGCTGTTTGTAATAATTGATCAATAATGTAAATTCAAACTAGTGAACGGACTAAATGAACATCTGACAAAATGTACAAAGTATAATCATGTAGACACATGATATCACAATGGTTTGAAAACGTTTTAGTATAAATCATGACATTTCAATTCCATTTTAGGGTGGCAGTGAAATCCTGTATGCTGATGGAGAAAGTAATTCTCATTTACTAGAACTACTTGTTAAGTAAGTTTCTGTTTTTTTTCAGACAAGATATCTGTTTACTCTGTTACTACATTATGGCAGATATCTGAAATATTACAAACAAAATAACCTGATTTATACTAAATTTCACTTTGCAATGAGTAGGAGTAAAAAAAAGGTCTTATTTGTGAACATTATTGGTTCTGTTTTAGTTAACAGTTCAAAAAAGTGAATTTTATGGAAAAGAATAAGATTTTCACCATTTTTTTTATTATTTTGTTTTAGTCAGTTGAAGAATCTGACCTCTGAATACAACTACAAGGGTGTGATTCTAGAGTATGTGTTCTATCTGCTGCACCAGGGAAGGACAGCTGAGGCATTGGAGCAGATGAAGGTGTGGTTTTGAAGTTTTTGAGCAATCATCATAATTATGCTTTTGTTAGACAATCTTCCTTAGATAATGGACATGTCATAGTAGTGCATGATACTAAAACATTCGGTTTTTGCTGTCATAATTCTGACACCAGAAAATATTATAAAAATAAAATGTAATAAGTTTTAACAGATCAAAAATAGGGAAATGTAGTCTTAAATGTAGTCTAGTTTTATTTCATTTTAATTAATTCATTTTTAGTTTAAAAGTATTACCAGAGGCCTCAAGAAGACCCCAACTGATCAAAGCAGGTACCTCGACCTGCAGTACACTTTGTATCAGGGCATGGTGTACTATACCTTGTGGTTGCAGGCAAAGCAATATATGGAGAAGCTGAAGGAGCAGGAGGATGGTGAGTAAGGTATTGTTATAGTGTTTGTGTACCTGTCCTGAGGATGATTGTGACTTGAGAGAAAGCAGAGTTGATTTCCCTTGTTTTGAAAAATGGGATGATTTTCATTACACATTATAAAAGGTGATCTTGATGAAGTCCAAATTTGTCAGTTTTTTTTCTAACAATTTGTCACTGAAATCTTGTAAAAAGGAGAACATTTTACATTTGGTTTTCTTTGAAAGAAAAACTCTTTTTACTATATATTTCCTTGTTCTATTTATTTGAAAGGTGACCCATTGCTTCATGCATCAGCATTGACATGGGATGAAGAATATTTGCAGAGTCATGCAACCAGAGCCATTGAAGCTTTTAGAAATGTAGAAACACAATATGGGGTGTGGGATATCTTTGTGACTAAATACGTTGAGGTAAAGTGACATTTTTCATCTTAAAGTTGGTATTACACCTGGCAGTAGGTGAATTAAGTACCTTTCCATACATACTTTGAATACTTTAACTAATTGTCTATATTAGTTATAGGACTGAGTATGTTCTTTGGGCATTGCAGTTACATATATTATTTTCATTACTTACAATATATATTTAAAAATAAAGCTTCATGGACCTGAGTAACCTCTTTATTTGCACCATAATGGATAGCAGTCTTAATCATAATGATAGATTTTTAATTTTTCTCCTATGAATATACATAATTCAGCATGAGTTTGTCTTTTTGCAGTTGCTAGAGTTTACAGAGAAGACTGAAGATGCATATCAAGTTTTGAAAGTTTATAGAGATCACCATGATGAAAACCCCAATGCACATAAAATGCTATACAAATTCATGAAAAGGCAAAATGCAAATAGAGGAGATAAACTCAAGGTTCTTCAGGTATCTGTTACTTTGCCATGAATTAGATAACAAAATACAATCGAAGTTAATTGGTTTTGAGGTAGAAGTTTGTAAATACTGTTTCATTTGCACCAACATAGATCTTTTGAGAAAACATAAGCAACCTCCGTTTGTGCTATCACAAGCCTTTTTACAGATCATTGCATTTTGTGCCAGAAAAGGTATACTAAGAGATACATACTTTTCTAGGTCATAATGTGCTTTAATTTTTAGGTGGTTCACAAAGAGTTGACTGATTATAATGATAAAATAAATCATATTTGATATAAATATGATGTGATATATAAATATTGATATGATTTAAATTATTTAGGATTATGTTAAGCTGGTGCCTTCAGATGAATTGGTGCTTGAACTGTGTGATTTGCTGGAAGAAAATGCAACTGATGCTGAAGGTATATTTTCAGGAAGTGTAATTTATGCTTTGATGAAAGTATAATGTTAAGTGTAAAGAGCAATGTAACATGTATGTTGATGGACTTTTCTATACTAGTATATGACAAAAGACAAATTACGTATACATACCTTTAATGCGATTTAAAACATCCCTCTCATCAAATTTTACTGTTTATAAATTAATTGTTAGGCATGGTGTGTTTCATATTTTTTGATTTGTCTAGATAATTTATTGACAGGTGATCTCATACGAAAGGTGCTTCAGCTGCTTTTTAACATGCTTGACTATGCTTGTTGGCAGAACTTTGAGCCACCTTGGAAAAAGTTAGAGACACTATTGGAAAAACTGGGGTAAGACAATAGATGAAAAGCCTTACTTAAGTCAAACTTAAAGTTGTTGCCCAAGCTCCGTGTATTCAATTGCTTTACCTGAAAGAAAAATATAAACATGTAGTACATCTGAATTTTAAGTGAATGAAGAGTTGGTTCATGTAGGCTGGAAGATTTTTTGAAGGTTGTCATTTAGATGAAGGACCAAGCAAATATATTTTCATTTTTATTTCGGCAAACTATCACTACAACTTCAGTAGACTGTGAGAACATTACACTTTGTAGAATCAATAGTCTTGGAAATTTTTTACTTCCCAGAAAAGATGACATTCCCAGTGTAGAGAAAGTTTGGAGTCCTAGGCATGACTGGTGGCCTGCATATCATTTCACATCTTCCGTGATACAAACAGCAGACCAAAACTTGCTAGTGTGCAAAATGAAACTTGCCCATCTCCTCCTTGGGGCAGGTAATTACATTATGAAAATTGGTCAAATGCTTGTTACCTATGCATTATATATTTGTTGAATGTATAAACTTTTCCATAAGATATTTTTGCTCAAAGGATTTTATGTCTTGAGTTTTTTCCTCTGAAACTTGGTGTATTAAATAATTCTCTTTTTTTGGTTATCAAGCAGACTCACTTTAGTACTAGTTAAAAGAGTCGTCCACTGTATGCTACATAAAAGAGCGTAATTATATCGAGGCGCAGCAGAGAGATTATTTGATCTTGTATGTCACATACAGTGGATGGTGAGTAGTTGTAACTGACTTATACCACGGCTGGTATTTCGCACAATAGGGTGAACGCACAGAAACCCAGTTCAGCTGTAAATGACTATCTATCTAGCTAGAGACATATCTGTGAATATCTGTAAAAAAATCTATCACTCGCCCTGGTAGAGGGTACTTGATATGTACTTTTCTGTATATGTAAAACAGTACAAATTTGATTTTAGGAAACACTTTTGGTGAAGAAGCAAAGAAGAGTTTGAATGAAGAGAATTTAAGACACATGGAGGAATTTGTATGTCACAGACAGAATCTTGGTGTAGTTTTCCACAAAAAGTGACAAATGCTGACTGCAGGAATCGAAATCTACATCAACATTAAATTCACATATATCGCGAGAAATTTGCACAAGAAATGTGCCACAGATCATGAACTAAAAAATCATTTCTATGGAAGATGAACAAGTGATCCCAGAGAAAGAGGTGCTACTGCTAAGAATAACGCAGTTGTTCTCCAAGTTGCAAACTACTTAGAGGCCTTGTGTACAGTGCCAAATGAAAGTTGGACTTGGGCACTGCAATAAACACGACCCTGGGATTTTCAATTTCATTTAATAATACTAAATCCTTTTGGGCTGTAAGATGTTGTGAGACACTGGACTTTAAAACATATGATGTTTGAAGAAGAACGTATATTTTTAATTTGTGAGAAAGTGAGATTAAGAGAATCCAGTAAAGGCAAAAAAGAAAGTACACAATTTGTTCTTGGAGTAATATAACAAACGGTCAAAAGAACCAACCTCATATCCATCTGTAGGCATCGATTTTCAATAACCGACAGGAAATGATGAATATGTGCATGATCATGCACTTATTGTCCCACGAATCACAGTATAAACTTGGGAGTTGTAATATCTTGTTCCATGCACGTTATAATACGAGGTTCTGCACAAGAACATTTAGATGTTGGCTTTGATAATGCAGACTTATTATACATGCTTCTAAAAGTCAGAAAATAGTAATTACTTTATGCAGTGATCAGTGTGAATAGGATCCATTTTCGTGATTTTCCATCACCTTTTTTTAACTTGTCATCAACTTAATATAGTACCAAATTCAACTATTTACATTTTTTCACTCATAATGTGACATTTTGAAAAACATTAAAATGGTCTAACTTCAGTATAAAAGAAGACTGATTAAAATGTTATGATCAGCAAAAGATGTATAAAATCTTTCTTCAAAATATATCCTCTTTAATATTAAAAAAAAAAAAAAAAAAAAAAAAAAAAAAAAAATCAATTATCAGCCATCTCCATAAATGTTTAAGGCAATATATTTTCAGCAATAAATATTGATCTCTGTACAGTGCTAAGTCAGTAACAAATGTAGTTCTATGTGTTTTATTTTCTCACAATAAATGGATGAGATGATAAATATGAGATTATTACTGTCATAATAATTTTTTCGAATACCATAAAATTACCATTTTTGTTGGGTGCCCACTTGTGAAGTCCAACATAGAAAATGTTATGCAATATTTGCCATTTAACAGCTTAAAAACTGGATAAAGATGATGTATGTATCCATTCCACAACAGACTGGAATTTTTTACTTCACATTCCCTCCAGAATGACATTTACAACTATGAAGCTCAAACAGGAGTAAGAAGTCTTCAAGTGCACACCTTCCAGTCACACTTTGCTGTAAAATTCTTTTATCCCTTGGGCACTGTTGAAGTATGTCCTTGCCAAAATACACAGCTTGCTTTTATCGTGCCATGATTTGGGCCACATCTGAAAAAATGGTGTATAATGGTATTATTGATAGCATTGTATTCCCATGTGTTTAACACTGTCTTTACTCTGATGACAACAGATTAAAATATGTTTTTGATAAAGCCACAATGACAAATTTCACTTTGAAAGGAAATACTACAAACAGAAACCTAGTTATACTTATTACCACTCACTTTCAAATGTTATTTTTTCGGTTATGTTTTTTGTTTTGATGTTTTCTTCCTGGTTGGCAACAAAAACTGTTTGTCCATTCTCCTCTATTTTCCACCCATATTTTGAGATCCATTGATTTGTCTGTGCATCTGGGTAAAAACAAAAAAGGATGCCAGTTATTATGAGGAACAGTTAATACAGAACTAAACATTGGAATAAGCTAAAGAGATGTAATTTTTTTATATATAAAAATAAAGCAATTTTTATAATTTATTAGCACCACATGATCTGAAAATTCCATGTGTAAAAATTGAATCATTTGTACAAAGATATAAACTGCAAGTTTGAGATGATACATATGATGCTTATAATAATGGCAAAATTTTTAATTAAATCGAGTAAAATTTTAATATTGACCAAGAAAATGTGTTGTGATAGAATTTGTCATGAATGGAAAATATGTTGATAAACTATTAATGGAAAAGTAGCTAAAACATGATAAAACCATGTGGATTGAGAACATGTATATTTTGTATCAATAACAAGTTCCATGTGCAAATTTTGAAAAATATACATTTGAATGATCAAAAATTAAAACAGGCCTACATGACACTTACCTGGAATCCCACCCAGTAATTCTGCTAGGTGTTCTTTTTCAATGGTCTGATATGTTATTCCAACAACATGGCAAATAACTGAAAAAATTTTCCAAAAAAATAAAAAAGTCATAACTGCCAGGGTTAAGAAAAGAAAATATTATTTCCCTGGGCACATAAGGGAATAACATTTGATCGAGCCAATCATTCTGATCAGTTGAATCCTAAGCAAGGACAAACTTGTGAAAATGAAATAAGAACTTTCTTAATACAAAACTTCATTAAACCTCTTTCCCCTGCACCAATAAACAATTTCCCTTCATATAAGATATGAACATATTATTGCAAAATTCGAAAACTTACATTTTCTTATGGAATCTTCAAAGCCCTGAATACCAACTATAATGTCAGGATCCTCCTGAAGAACTCTCTATTCAGTAATCAAGAAAAGAAAATATGCTATAAAGTGTACATCCACAACAAGAAGCTGAAACATACCAAACCCTTTATGTATAAAAATTTTATGTAAGAAAATGATAAAAAATACATATCCAGATGAAGCAATATCATAAATTCTGCATAATATTTTGCTATAGATCAATTCTTTTAAGAAACTGAAGTTTTGAAATGGAACTTTAAAATTGAAATAATGACTGCTAAACAATATAAATATGATCAAATCAAATGTTTCCCTACCCAAAACAGCTTGAACTGACAAGATTCTAACAGGTCTGCTAATTCAATAATCTTTGTCAAAGGTTTTTCCTCTAGCTGAGGCACATCAAGGAATATATCATTTCAAAAAATATAAGTAAACAAATGAGAGCAACCATTAAGCAAAAATCTAGATTTGTGTGATTGCCAATAACCGTTTACAAGTTCAATACATGAGGCAATTTATGAAAATAGTTTCATTGGATCTCAGACTTTCTGACTATTAAGCAATTTAATGTCAACAAAGCATGCAATATTCTTTATACATGCATCATAGTCATCATGTCATTATTTTATAAAGAATGAAGTAAACATTTTTATCATAACTAACAAATAATACAAATGTCATTATAAACTATATTAGTCACACAATTTCACTTCAAGGATACTCTTACGCCTTCTATGAGACATTTACATAGAGTGAGATCTGTGTGGGGTAGATTGGTCAGAGCTTTTAGGAGAATCTGGGCAGTGACAGTTGTCTGGAAATAATTAGGATTAAACTGGTATCTGAAATTCCAAGAAAACTAAGTATCAGTTCAGCAGGATAGCATATCATAAATTTCTCTTAAAAATTAAAAACACACAGAATCAAAGTGACATACACTACAAACAGCATCTCAACTATTTTAGGTAATCAAATGGCTAAAAAGGGGTCAATATAAAGTTGTGTAGAAAACAACACAATTAAAATAGGCCAAGGAGCCAAATATTCAAAGACCAAATTATGTCATATTTCAAAATATGCAATTCAAAAAGAAAAGAAATTACAGTTTCAGCACTGCTAGGTTGGCCTCTAAATCGTATGCATTTTCCATTGCTTGAACTGCTATGTAACGTTCCAAGGTAGCCAGGTTCTCAGGATTGTACCTGTAATTAAAAATAAATGATAAGCAACTCAATTTATTTACTGTTAAACTTTCTTTCCTTTTCAAGACAGATTTTTTTTACTAGATTAATGATCCACAAAACCCAGGATTATTAGAACACAGTGTAACATAATGATCAATACAGTGTGTCGACCTTTAAGGTGGAAAAGTTGGAATCTCTCTGAATACAAATGGAATAAAACTTTGACATACAACTTGATTACGTGATTACAACACAAACATCTGAACAATTTAAGTAATTTTGACAATGAACTCAATTAAAAATAGTAAGTTTGTTAAATGTAATTTGGTGACATTGGCTTTGGAATTGCCACAATTGGTGTCCATATTGTGAGATGGGAGACAGTTAAATTCGATTATATAACGGCAAGTGCAGGCCATTGCCAATCTAAAAGACACATCTATGTACATTCTCACTAGTTTATTAAATATGGACGCTAAGTTAACTGTACTTACCTGTCAATCCCCTTCAAAAGTTCTGCAACATGTGCCCGCATTGCTTCTGCCATTTTGTCGGTCACGTGACTTTCATATACCCTCACTAACGATAATGTCGTGAAAGTGAAACTTTGAGTGAGATTATAATAATATAGCTTTTCAATATAAAACTATCTAGATTATAACAAGTAAGATATTTATAACATCTACTCAACAGCTCTTAAGTATAAATACAAGTACAACCATGTTAATGCGGTCGTAAAAGCACGTTCTCGCATTTTTGCATGAGAGTTGCTAATGTTTACGTGATCTTGACGTCACTTAGTTTATAATATGGCGGATTGAGATTGTCAAATCTGCTAGATATTACATGTTTTGCGTTACAATTTTTCGAACATGTAAGAACATCACAGCTCTTAAATTTAGCAAGTTTGGGAGGATGTTTCGATAACATTCCAACCACAGCATTGCTGTTGTGCAAACCATCATGGATATCGAGCCTCTTGTCGAGGATTTCCAGGAGCTTCAGCTGGATAGAATCGCCCCTGCAACACAATCAGCTATAAATTTGTTGAAGGTAAAAGCTTCAAGGCTACTTTTAAATACAGTTTTCTTTGCATTTCATTTAAATGCAAGGAGTAGAAGCAATATATACATGACATTCGATCTCCTTTTTGATAAATATGTTAGTTACTTTTCACCGGAAAAACTGTATAACTGGCCCTAACCATGACCTCAGAAGTTCGTCTTGAGAAAGGGGTTTGTAGGGGCAGAGATGGATATTGTCATTTAGCTGATTACAGCAAATTCAAATTTGGTTTCTGTCTAAGTATACTTATTTGGAAATGCATATGTTACTGGCTGTGGCATTAATCTACAGCAACTGGCACTGTATGATTCATGGCATATAAATTGTTAAAACAAACCTGGAGGCAATGCTCTCCAGAAGCCCATGAGAATCTATTCCCAATTTGATGAGAAGTTACATGTTTTAAAAGTTTCAAATGTTTTATTTATACTTTGGCAAAAATACACAGAACAGAAAAAATTATAAAAGAAATTTGAGGTTCAGATATTTGTTTAAAAGAAATCTTAACAAAAACATTAATACTAGTTTCTTAGCTGATAAAATGCCCCATACAAAGTGTACTTTCTGACAGTATGATTTAGTTTTGCATAGTTAAAATCAGGTAGTGTCTTTAACTCTTAATTAAAACTGTTGTAGAAAATGTCACCATTGATTGGTACCCTGGAATTGTCACGAAAGTTGGATAATAAAGTCAGTGGATTGAATTAGTGAATTGTTGTTTCAAGATCAATCTTTTTATTGATTTCAGTAACAGAGAGAAATGCATTATTTTGTTACATTTTCAGATTTCCATTATATCCTTATAAAAGTTAAAAATTCAGAATAAATTCCTTGATAGATGTAGCTTCTTACTGTTGTTTACGATCATTTCAGACTGAAGAAGAGCTTGAAAAACTCACTGTAGATGAAAAGCTCAATGATATTGAAAGAGCAGTGTATCTTCTAAGGTAAGCATTTTAAAACATTTTAAGAGCTATATGTGGATTTAAATGTTTGAAAAGGCTACATTTGATGCAGTTTTTATTTACCTTCAGGCTTCTGTTTTATTATTATTTTTTTACAGAAATGCAAATATTTGTGATATTTTTCAAGCACTAGTAAGACTGTTTTATGATTACA